TTCCTATTCTGCCTTGCCTTGTTGAGGAAGAAATAAATGCACCACCTTCTAATTCAACTGGGGAGCTCATAGCTCCCCAGGCCCCTGCAAATCCAGCCCTCAATTCAGCAACAGTAAGCCCCCCAACGCATCCTATGGCCCCAGGGCAAATATACCCAGATCTCCCTGAAGATTTAGATGATGACACAGACTCTGACTGAGTCTTCTTCAACTCTTTCCCCTGAAAAAGAATCCCTACATACAAAGGCAACTCTGAAAGCAGCAAAAGGCCATGACCATAACTTAAGGAATATGGACAAGGCAAACAAGAAATTGCCTAAAGTAATGCCCCTTCCTCAAGTGAGAGAATTCGTAGGAACTCAAGTTGAGGGTAGACAACTTGTGCCATTTACCAGCTCAGATCTTTTCAATTGGAAAACACACACCACCCCCTTCTCCACAGATCCAGGACCAATGACAGATGTTTTCAGTAATATTGTCAACATACATGACTCTGCATGGCAGGACTGTCGGCAGCTGATGATGTCCCTCCTTACTACGGAGGAACGTAAGAGGGTCTTAGCAGCTATGGAGCGACAGACTGAAGCTAGGAGAAATGCTGCTGTTAACCAAGTTGACCACATGAGGGAGAACTGTCCAGAGACTATCCACATTGGGATCCTAATAACAAATAGTTATAATTAATAGAAATGTACAACATGCACGGATAACAGGAGTGAAGAATATACAAAAGGAAAAATTAGTTGACAAACTGTTTTAGTGAGGGGTTGGAAAGACAAAACAAAATGGACACTGATTAATTGGTATAACTATATAGTTAATATGTTAAATGTGGAAATAACAAATTGCAAATGGAATAATATAGATAAAATTGGAAACGTTACAATAACTAAGAGGATGTGGGAACCAGTTAGGAATTATTTAGTTAATGTGCTAAGATGTGGAGTGGAAAAATTAAGATTGAGACTGATATTTCAAATGTAACTTCTGTAGTTTGATGTATAAATTGCATGTACAAGAAGAGGAGGGTGGGAGTGGGATAAAACAATAAAAACAAAAAAAAATAAACCAAGGCGTTTCTTTGTTCGGTACCCTGTTTCTGGACTACCAGCAGGGTCCATATCCGGTTGGCGCCAACCGGGAATAAACCGTGCTTTTACAGACCTCAGGAACTCTCTTTGTCTCTTTTCCTCAAACCTTCTCCCTGCCATTTCACATTCACCCACCCACCCACCCTACAACACAGCAACAAAATAAAATCAGAATATAAACATTAAAGAGGGAGAAAGAAAGATAGGAAACAGAGAGGGAAGGAAGAAAAGCGAGAAAGAGAGAAAGAAAACTAGGAAGGTAGGAAAAAGAGGAAAGGAAGAAAAGTAAGAAAGAGAGAAAGGAAGGTAGGAAATAGAGAGGGAAGAAAGAAAGAGAGAAAGGAAGGCAGGCAGGAAAGAGAGGGAAGGAAGAAACACAAGAAATAGAAAAAAGTTAGGTAGGAAAAAAGAGAAGGGAGAAAAGTGAGAAAGAAAGGTAGGAAAAGGAGAGATAGGAGAGAGAGAGAAAGGAAGGTAGGAAAGAGGGAAGGAAGAAAAGCAAGAAAGGAAGGCAGGAAAAAGAGAAGGAAGAAAAGCGAGAAAGAAAGGTAGGAAGAAGAGAGGGAAGGAAGAGATTAAGGAAGGAAGGAAAGAGGGAAGGAAGAAAGGAAGATAGGAAGGAAGGTAGGAAAAAGACATATAAGGAAGAAAGAGAAAAAGAAAGGTGGGAAAGAGAGGGAAGGAAGAAAGAGAGAAAGGAAGGCAGGAAAGGGAGAGAAGGGAGAAAGGGGAAGAAAGATGAAAAGGTGGGGAAGAGAAGGAAGAAACAGAAAGGAAAGGAGGAAAGAGAGGGAAGAAAGAGAAAAGGAAGGCAGGAAAGAAAGGGAAGGAAGAAAAGCAAGAAAGGGTGAAAGAAAGGGAGGTAGGAAAGAGAGGGAGGGAAGAAAGAGAAAGGGAAGCAGTAAAGAGAGGGAAGGAAGAAAAGAGAGAAAGGAAGGCAGGAAAGAGGAGGAAGAAAAGGAAGGAAGGAAAAAGGAAACAAAGGGAGAAAGGAAGGCAGGAAAGAGAGGGATGGAAGAAAGAGGGAAAGCAAGGAAGATATGAAAAAGAGAGAATGAAGACAGCGAGAATGAAAGGTAGGAAGAAGAGAGGAAAGGAAGAGATTAAGGAAGGAAGGAAAGAGGGAAGAAAGAAAGGAAGATAGGAAGGAAGGTAGGAAAAAGACATTTAAGGAAGAAAGAGAAAAAGAAAGGTAGGAAAGAGAGGGAAGGAAGAAAGAGAGAAAGGGAGGCAGGAAGAGAGGGAAGGGAGAAAGGGGAAGAAAGATGAAAAGGAAGGTAGAAAAAAGAGAAGGAAGGAAGAAACAGAAAGGTAGGAAAGAGAGGGGAGGAAGAAAGAGGAAAAAGAAGGAATGTAGGAAAAAGAAAGGGAAGGAAGAAAGAGAAAAAGGAAGGCAGGAAAGAAAGGGAAGGAAGAAAAGCAAGAAAGGGAGAAAGAAAGGGAGGTAGGAAAGAGAGAGGGAGGGAAGAAAGAGAAAGGAAAACAGTAAAGAGAGGGAAGGAAGAAAAGAGAGAAAGGAAGGCAGGAAAGAGGAGGTAGAAAAGGAAGGAAAGAAGGAAGGAAAAAGGAAACAAAGGGAGAAAGGAAGGCAGGAAAGAGAGGGATGGAAGAAAGAGGGAAAGCAAGGAAGATATGAAAAAGAGAGAATGAAGACAGCGAGAATGAAAGGTAGGAAGAAGAGAGGAAAGGAAGAGATTAAGGAAGGAAGGAAAGAGGGAAGAAAGAAAGGAAGATAGGAAGGAAGGTAGGAAAAAGACATTTAAGGAAGAAAGAGAAAAAGAAAGGTAGGAAAGAGAGGGAAGGAAGAAAGAGAGAAAGGGAGGCAGGAAGAGAGGGAAGGGAGAAAGGGGAAGAAAGATGAAAAGGAAGGTAGAAAAAAGAGAAGGAAGGAAGAAACAGAAAGGTAGGAAAGAGAGGGGAGGAAGAAAGAGGAAAAAGAAGGAATGTAGGAAAAAGAAAGGGAAGGAAGAAAGAGAAAGGAAAGCAGGGAAGAGGGAAGGAAGAAAGAGAAAAAGGAAGGCAGGAAAGAAAGGGAAGGAAGGAAAGCAAGAAAGGGAGAAAGAAAGGGAGGTAGGAAAGAGAGAGGGAGGGAAGAAAGAGAAAGGAAAACAGTAAAGAGAGGGAAGGAAGAAAAGAGAGAAAGGAAGGCAGGAAAGAGGAGGAAGAAAAGGAAGGAAGGAAAAAGGAAACAAAGGGAGAAAGGAAGGCAGGAAAGAGAGGGATGGAAGAAAGAGGGAAAGCAAGGAAGATATGAAAAAGAGAGAAGGAAGAAAGAGAGAAAGGACAGCAAGAAAAAGAGGGAAGGAAGAAAAAAAGGTGAAAGAAAGGAAGGTAGGAAAGAGAGGGAGGAAAGAAAGAGAAAGGAAGACAGGAAGGTGAAAAAAGAGAGGGAAGGAAGAAAGAAAGGAAGGGTAAAAGGTATGTAAATAGGAAAAAGAGAGGGAAGGAAGAAAAGCAAGAAATGGAGAGAGAAAGGTAGAAAAAAGAGAGTGAGGAAAGAAAAGGAAGGAAGCAAAGAAAAAGAGAGGGAAGGAAGAAATGAAAAGCACATTGCATATGTATATATTTTCAGAATTTGGATAGATTATGGAATTATTCTTATTTATACCCCACCTTGGGGACTCAAGGCGGCTAACAATCTGCACTAGACAAAAAAGAGCCATGCAAAAGTTTAAAATCAATTCAAGAGTAATAGTGTGGTAAAAACAGATTGAAAAAACAATAAATACACTACCATGGCCTTTAAAACTCATATTATCCCACAGGAATGAAGATTACCTGTGTGTCCCCTGACCTCTGCTGGCAAAATCGGAATTGTTAACGCTTGGCATCATAAAACACACAGAAATATGACTAAGATTTGAATATGAAGGAGAGCTATTATCCAGTGTATGAACAAAACACAGGGGGAGGTCCCCAATAGGTGGGTTTCCGTAGTGTAGCGGTTATCACGTTCGCCTCACACGCGAAAGGTCCCCGGTTCGATCCCGGGCGGAAACACAACTATATTTTGTTTTAAATAGAATTACAGTTCGATTTAACACATATTTCTTCCTGTACATATTATACTGTATCCTATTATTTTTTTAGGTTTTTAAGCAAATGTTTCTGAGCGGGAGGCCAGCCTTGGATTGCACTGGTTCTCCAACCAACTCCTCCAGCTTGGTATCTTCAATGGATATTAATGTATCTATATCTAAAAAATTATTCTATATAGCATTTTTCTTAATTTATCTATTCTTTAATCAGTCATGAAAAACTAATTTTTGCGTTGGCCGGGAATCGAACCCGGGTCAACTGCTTGGAAGGCAGCTATGCTAACCACTATACCACCAACGCCCTCGTGGTTGGAGGCTTCCGTCCGGGCTTTTTGAAAAGAGCGTTTCCAATGGATCATACCATTGCAACATTCAAGTGAGGGGGGAAGGAAGAATAATTGGAAATGGCAACACTTTCAAATATGGGAAACGTAGTTACGGTGTAGAAAAGACAACGGAAAAAATTACAATTCAATGTATTGTCGACAATACAATACAATACATATTACAATTCGCTTTGCCATCTTCTACTTCTTTTCTGTTAAAGATTCTCCCCCTTTTGTTTTAGAAATTGGTTCCTTCCAGCCAACAGATGACGTAATTAGCTCCTCCCTTTTCTCTGTGCTTTGTAGAAACGCGCCTCCCTACTCTGACGAAGTTGGTTCCTTCCTCGTTGCCACAGCAACGGTTTGCCAATTTCCTCACATCTCGCGAGACTTGACACCTCCTCCCCGTTTCCCTCAGACTACTGCTCAGAGCAGACTACTGCTCAGAGCCCCGCCCCTTTTCGCGTCATCTCGCGGGTTCCTGAGGCCCCGCCCACTACCGATAAACTCTCGCGAGACTACGAAAAAATACGCCACACCCCCGAAAAGCTTATGTTTCCGGGGGAAAGAGCGTCGTGGGAGCTTCCTGAAGGGAAATGGAGCGGGAGTGAAGCCGCCGCGGGATCTCCGGCACCCCCTTCCCTTTCCCCTCCCCATTTCCCCGCAAAGGAGAACCGGAGCCGGCCGAAAAGTGAGTCGAATGACTAAGCATTGCATGGGGGCGGGGCTGAAGGGGTTGCAACCACGCCCCTTTTGGGGGAGCTGAATGCGTCCTCTGTGGGGAGGGGAGGGGCTTATAAGCGGCCACGCCCCTAAGGGCCACGCCCCTTAGAAATCAAGCACCAAGCGAGGGAAAGCTTGGCCACGCCCACTTTGCTCCAGCCACGCCTCTAAATCCGAGGGGGTGGGAGGAGCCTCTTTAGGCCACGCCCCATCTCATTCTGCCCCCGCCCCCTTGTTTTCTCCTACTCGTATCCCGGCCCTCTTGGGTAGTGCCATTGTTCTATATACCAGGCAGGGAGTAAAGATGGAGTTGCTGCTTTTCTCTGGAGATCAGAATCACCCCAAAACTCTACATCTGGGGGGCTGAGAGAGTGGCCCCTGGGCTTAGTTACATACGTCATCTATTTTCTATATAAATAAAATTTTATTTATTTATTTATTTACTGCGCTTACATACCGCAATTCTCAGCCCTTTAAGGGCGACTCATTGCGGTGTACAACATGAAAAAACAAGTGCAAATTATAAAACATAGTACAAAATAATCCACATCATTATCAGAAAAACATCTTATCAAAACATCAACATTACTACAAAATTTCTACTACATTCCGAATCGTCTCATCGTCAACCCACAATCCAATATCATTTCCGTTGTTCCATTCCTATGGTCAAATTACCAGTCATTGCACTTCTTGGTCAAATGCCTTCTTAAATAGCCAGGTCTTTAACTTCCTGCGGAATATCAACAGGGAGGGGGCTTGCCTGATGTCCACGGGAAGGGTGTTCCACAGCCGAGGAGCCACCACCGAGAAGACCCTATCTCTCGTCCCCGCCATCCGTGCGTGTGACGCCGGCGGGATCGAGAGCAGGGCCTCCCCGGAAGATCTCAAAGTCCTCGTGGGCTCATAGGCCGAGGGGTGGTCAGTCAGGTATCTTGGGCCGGAACCATTTAGGGCTTTATAGGCCAAAGCCAGCACCTTGAATTGAGCCCGGTAGCAGATCGGCAGCCAGTGGAGTTGGTACAGCAGGGGAGTTGTATGCTCCCTGCGTCCCGCTCCTGTTAGTATCATGGCTGCCGCACGTTGGACCAGTTGGAGCTTCCGGGCCGTCTTCAAAGGCAACCCCACGTAGAGAGCGTTGCAGTAGTCTAAGCGGGATGTAACCAGAGCGTGGATTACCGTGGCCAAGTCAGACTTCCCAAGGTACGGGCGCAGTTGGCGCACGAGTCTTAACTGTGCAAATGCTCCCCTGGTCACCGCCGAAACCTGGGGTTCCAGGCTCAGCGATGAGTCCAGGATCACACCCAAACTGCGAACCTGCGTCTTCAGGGGGAGTGCGACCCCATCCAACACAGGCTGTAACCCTATACCCTGTTCGGCCTTACGACTGACCAGGAGTACCTCTGTCTTGTCTGGATTCAATTTCAATCCCAAAAATGTAATGTTCATTTGTGGGATTAACATAACTCAAAAACCACTGGACTAATTGACACCAAATTTGGACACAATACACTTATCAGGCCAATGAGTGACCATCACTCATAAAAACAGTGAAAAACACAGCGGAAGGGACTTAAAAAGCCAAAACAAGCAAAAAGACGCTGCAGCGCACACGCAAAACATCCCCTCTGGCAATCAACTCAAACAATAGCATATCTACACTCTCTCTGGAGGTGGTTGCAGAGAGCGGTCAACCCTCCTATTTAAACAGCTCCACTGGCGTCCAGTAAGTTTCCGGTCCCAATTCAAGGTGCAGGTCATCACCTATAAAGCCCTAAACGGTTCGGGACCTGCTTATCTTCACGATTGCATCTTTCCCTATGAACCAGTGCATACCTTGAGATCTTCTGGGGAGGCACTGCTCTCTCTCCCCCCCGCCATCGCATTCGTGGTTGATGGGGACGAGGGAGAGATCCTTCTCGGTGGTGGCCCCCTGGCTCTGGACCTCCTCTCTAGGGAGATCAGACAGGTTCCCACCTTGTCCTCCTTTCGTAGTCAACTAAAAACCTGGATGTTCTGGTGCACTTTTGACTAAACAGGTCACCAGTCAGTTTCTTGTCCCTACTTGAAGTTCCACACTTTACACCGGCCTGCGTTTTACACTGGCATACGTCCTACCTCAACATGTGCTTGACTGGATTTCCTGGCCAGTTTACTGGATTGTTGCACTTTCCTGCGCTCCTGTAAAAATGTATAGCACTAATTGAATCTGGACCTCAGCTATGTTTCTTTCAGCCGTATTGTTTTTATATTGCTTTCAATTGTGTTGCTATTTGTTTTATCTGATGTTTTAATTGGTTAAAGTGTTTTGCATGTGTGTTTTAATTGTAATCTTGGGTGTGTCCCTTGTAAGCGGCCCGAGTCCCCTAGGGGAGATGGTTGGCGGAGTAGTACCTCTGAGGATGCTTGCCATAGATGCAGGCGAAATGTCAGGAGAAAATGCCTCTAGAACATGCCCATATAGCCTGGAAAAACCTACAACAACCCAGTGATTCCTGCCATGAAAGCCTTTGACAATACATTTATTTATTTATTTATTTATTTATTATTTGTACTTATATGCTGCCACTCCCCTGGGGCTCGGAGCGGCTTACAAGAACAAGCTAAAATTGAACACAATTTAAAACAATTTAAAAACAATCAGAGATCAAAGGCCCGTCGAAATAGATATGTCTTACATGCCCTGCGGAAAGCTGATAAGTCCCGCAAGGCACGGACTTCAGGTGGCAGAGTATTCCAGAGTGATGGTGCCACTGCTGTGAAGGCTCTGCATCTGGTTGCTGTTAGACGCAAGGTCTTGACACTGGGAATTTCCAATAGATCTTGGTCCTCAGAATGGAGGGATCTCTGGGGTTGGTAGGGGGTGAGGCGGTCCCTCAGGTACATCGGCCCCAGACCATGCAAGGCCTTAAAGGTGAGTACCATCACTTTGAAAGTGATCCGGTGCTCAATTGGTAACCAATGCAGCTGCAGTAAGATTGGTGTTATGTGGCATCTCATTGGAGTTCCCGCAAGAAGCCGAGCAGCTGCGTTTTGTACCAGCTTGAGCTTCCGGATCACCGACAGAGGAAGGCCAATGTAGAGGCCGTTACAGTAGTCCAATCTTGAGATGACCGTAGCCTGGATCACTGTAGCTTTCCGCAGGGCATGTAAGACATATCTATTTTGACGGGCCTTTGATCTCTGATTGTTTTTAAATTGTTTTAAATTGTGTTCGATTTTAGCCTGTTCTTTGTCTTATTTTTATACATATAAAAATAAAATTATTATTATTATTATTACGGACTACATCTCCCAGCATCCCCTAGACCAGGCCCTTTAGGAGAGGAGGATGATCCAAATGCACTGCTCCCAAGCTGCAAGCTTTCTTCTCCTTGGATTTCTTTTAGAGCATCCCAATCCCTACATATTTCCAGTTTCCTATTCCTGGACTGCAATTCTCAGCAATCCTCCAGATAGATAGTTTAGATAGAGATAGATAGATAGATAGATAGATAGATAGATAGATAGATAGAACAGGAGGACTGTGGGACTTGCAGTCCAAGAATAGGTAGAGAAGGAATAAAGGAGAGAAAGAGGAAAGGAAAGAGAGGGGGGTTGGAGGAAGGGAAGAGGAAGAGAAGGAAGGAAATAGAGAAAGAAAAAAAAGGGAAGGAAGGAGAGAAAGAGGGAGGGAAGGTTGGCCACAACAACGCGTGGCAGGTACAGCTTGTGTGTGTGTGTGTGTGTGTGTGTAGGTATGTATGTATGTGTATATATATACACACACACACATATATATCTGTTTGGAGTGACATCATGACTCAAAAACCACTGACTAATTGGCCAAATTTGGCCACAAGAGACCTCCTAACCCAAGGAGTAATCATCACTCAAAAAAATTGTCATTTGGGAGTTATAGTTGCTGGGATTTATAGTTCACCTACAATCAAAGAGCATTCTGAACTCCATCAATGTTGGAATCGAACCAAAATTGGCACACAGAAAGCACCAGAAGGTTTGACCATGAGTTTTGGAGTTGTAGTTCATCTGCTTCCAGAGAGCACTGTAGACACAATCAAAGAAGGATCTAGACCAAACTTGGCACGAATACTCAATATGCCCAAATATGAACACAGATGGAGTTTGGGGGACATAGACCTTGACATTTGGGAGTTGTAGTTACTAGGATTTATAGTTCACCTACAATCAAAGAGCATTCTGAACCACACCGACGATAGAATTGGGCCAAACTTCCCACATAGAGCCTCCATGACCAACAGAAAATGCTATGTGTTTTCTGGTAGTCTTTGGCGACCCTTCTGACACCTCCTCATGACACCCAGTGGGAGCACTCCCGGAAGGTGCTGAGAAATGCTGCCTTAAGACCATCCAGTCTTAACTCCCTTCACCAGGGCAAAAAAACATAATCAAAGCCCTCCTGACAAAGAGCCATCCAGCCATAGGTATAGATAGATCTATACGATTCACACACACACTTATACATGTATATTACAGATATAGTATCATATATTTGATAGGGACTCTTAAAGAAGGACAATTATATGTTGCATGTTCCAAAGTAAGCAAACCAGACAATCTCTACATCAACACTGACAAAGAAACAACAAGAAATACAGTTTACCCGCAAGCATAAAGAAATTACATATATTAGAAACCAACACTTTTTCATTACTTTATTTTCCAGATCACCAGACTGGGTCACAGCAACGCGTGGCAGGGGACAGCTAGTATTTATATATACTTATATGGAGATAATCATGGCTTCTGCTTTTTCCCCACCAGGTTTCGTGCCCTGTCCCCAAGGCTCGCCAAGCAGTTGATGCGGAAAATCAAGAGGGTCCGGCTGGAAAACGAAAGCCCAGGAAGTTGGAGAAGGTAACTTTGGGGCCTGGGGGCAACATCCAAGCCTTCCCGACAGATGGCCATCCAGCATCTGCTTAATAATAATAGAAACATAGAGTTAGAAGGCACCCTAATGGCTCTCCAGTCTAACCATGGTCATGCCAAGCAATAAGGCACCATCAAAGCCCTCCCAAGAGATGACCACCCAGCCTCTGCTTAATAATAATAATAATAATAATAATAATAATAATACAATCCTAGAGTTGAAAGAGACCTCAAGGACCCTCCAGTCAAATCCTATTCAGGTCAGATAGGAAGTCGCCACAAAACCCTCCCGACAGATAGTCATCCAACCTTTGAATAAAAACTTCCAGAAGAGGAAGGAGACTCCACCAGGCTGTATGTGACTATCTATGGAAGTCAAGAGTCAGGCTGTCTATCTGTTCAAGCCAAGGGTTGGCCTATTTTTTTGTATCTATGTGTGGGTGTCCATTTATCTATTCAGTCAAAAGATCTGTCTGTCTATGTATCAACCTATCCATATATATCTATGTATTTATATATATGTGTGTGTGTGTATATGTATATGTGTATGTGTATATGTATATATGGGGTAAATGTCCCTGTTACGACTTACAAACAAATGCAGCTTAAGAATAAACCTACAGAACCTCTGTTGTTTGTAACGTGAGGGCGGCCTTTATTGAAACCTGGCTCTGGTGTTGCCTTTTCTCCTCCCAGCTCAACCTCTTCTAGCTCTCCTGCTGATCTCTTTCTGTATCTGTGCTCCCTTCTCTCTCAGTCCCTTGAGCGGTTCAGGTGCCCAGCCCAGGATGACGGCAGTGGAAGCACTCCCGGAAGGTGCTGAGGCAGTGGAAATGGAGGACCCAGCGGCCAGCCGTTTCCAGGTGGAGAAGCATTCCTGGGAAGGGCTGCGGGACATCATCCACGGCAGCCGCAAATACACCGGGATGATAGTCAACAAAGCGCCCCACGACTTCCAGTTCGTCCGGAAGACTGAGGAGACCAGCCCACACTCCCACCGACTCTATTACCTCGGTGAGCTGCTTGGCTGATTTTGCATCTCTCTCTCACTGTTGGTTTTCTAAACAGAATCTCTAAGAATGGTGTAGCCTTCCAATGGTTGTCACTCCCAGCATCCCTAATAAGGTTAGCCAAAGATGGGAAATACTGGGAGTTGTAATAATGATAATAAGTCTATTAATTACATGTATATGTGCGTGTGTGTGTATAAAATAACAATGTGACACAATATAAAATTATGTGATATATTATCCAATGGTAACATTATATAATGGTAGTATGCAATAGTACTATCATATAATGGTAATATTATGCGATACGACTATTATATAGTGGTGATACGTGATGCTATTCTATTATAGTAATACTAGCTGTCCCCTGCCACGCGTTGCTGTGGCCCAGTCTGTTGATCTGGAAAATAAAGTAATGAGAAAGTGTTGGTTTCTAATATTTGTAATGTCTTTATGCTTGTGGGTAAACAGTATTTCTTGCTGTTTCTTTGTCAGTGTTGATGTGGAGAGTGTCTGGTTTGCCCACCCTGGAACATGCACGATATCATTGTCCTTCTTTAAGGGTCCCTTTCAAATCTTTGATACTATATCTTTGTGTGTGTGAATCATATCTGTCTATCTGTCTATTTATCTATCTATATATCTATATCTATGGTTGGATGGCTCTTTGTCAGGAGGGCTTTAATTACGTTTTCTTGCCCTGATGAAGGGAGTTAGATTGGATGGCCTTAAGTATTTTATGTTGGTCATGGAGGTTCTGTGTGGGAAGTTTGCCCCGATTCTGTTTTTTGTGGGGTTCAGAATGCTCTTTGATTGTAGGTGAACTGTGAATCCCAGTGACTACAACTCCCAAATGACAAAATCATAATTTTTTGAGTGATGGTCACTCCTTGTGTTGTGAGATGTTTTGTTGCCAAATTTGGTGTGATTTCGTTCATTGGTTCTTTTGTTTTTAAGGTACTCATTATACACAGAGCATTTTTATATAGATAGACTAGCTTTACCCGCCACGCGTTGCTATGGCCAGCCTTCTCTCCCTCTTTCTCTGCTTCTTTCACTCCTTCCTTCATTCCTTTTTTTCTTTCCTTTTCTATTTATCTTCTTCTTTCTTCCATCTCTACCTGTTTCTTTCCTCCCTTTTTTTGCTCTTTGGTTACATCCTTCCATTCCTGTATTTTTCCTTTCACTTTTTTATTTACTTCTCTCCTTTCTTGCTTCTCTACTTTTCTTGCTTTTCTTCCTTCTTTCCCTCCCTCCTTCTCTCCTTCATTCCTTCCCTCTTTCCCTCCTTCTCTCGTTACTTCTTGACTGTCCCTTCCAACTCTATTCTATAAGTCTATTTAATTTGTATTATATAGTAATATATAATAGTAACATTATATAGTAATCTATATAACAATATATAAAATATTGTATTTATATCTTACATAGAAAGAAGGAAAGGAAGAAGGAAGGAAGGAAAAAGGGAGGGAGGGGAGGAGGGAACGAAGGGAAGGAAGGAAAGGAAAGAAGGAAGGGGGAAAGGAAGGAGTGGGATGAAGAAAGGAGGGAGGGAAGGAAAGTAAGGGGAAGGAAATGAAGAAAGGGAAAGAAGGAGGAAAGGAAGAAAGGATAGGAAGGAAGGGAAGGAGGGAAAGGAAGAAAGGAAGGAGAAGAAGGGAAGGAAGGAGGGAGGGACAGGAAGGAAGGAGGGGGAAGGAAAGGAAGGGGAAGAGAAGAAAAGGGAAAGGGAGGAAAGAAGGGAAGGGAGGGAGAGAAGGAGTGGAGTGTGGCAGAGGCAGCTACCTAATGGTCTGGATTAGGTAGGGGGGGAGGGGAGGGGGAGAGAGAGAGAGTGTGTGTGTGTTAAATGTGTGCTTTAGTTGCCAGAGACAACCGAGCATATTACGGATGGAGGCAAGAAAGAGTTGGCGAAGAAGGGAACCGTCTCTCTCCCCTGCTCCCTCCCTCCTGCCTGCTGCTTCTACCGGGGCATCTTGGAGGAAGAGGAGGCGACAAAAGGGAGGGGGGACAGCCAAGAGGAAAAAGGCTGCTGCTTCTGCTGGCGAGGGAGGGACTTTAGGAGCCCGTCCACTGTCCTCCTCCTCCTTTTCCTCACTCCCATGATGCCCACTCTTGCTTGTGTCTGTGTGTGTGGCCGTGCACGCACGCCTGGCTTCTAAGGCTTTAACGGCCAGCTGTTTCCCCGCGAGGAGGAGGAGGGGGTATGGCCATGGGTCTCTTTGTAGACATGCAGTTTCTCCTTTGTGGACATGCAATTCAGAAGTGCCTTCTGCTTTTTGTTTTCGTGGGTTTTTTTTGAGTGGAGAACATACATTGGGTTGTTAGGTGTATCGTGTCCAAATTTGGTGCCAATTGCCCCAGTGGTTTTTGAGTTCTGTGAATACCACAAACGAACATTACATTTTGATTTATATAGACTAGCTGTACCCGCCACGCGTTGCTGTGGCCAACCTTCCCTCCCTCTTTCTCTCCTTCCTTCCCTCTTTCCTTCCTTTCCTTTTTTTTCTTTCCCTATCTGTCATCTTTCTTCCATCTCTACCTGTTTCTTTTTCTTTGCTCTTTGGTTACATCCTTCCTTCCTTCCCTACCTTTTGTTCCTTCTCTCCTTCCTTCCCTCTCTTTTTCCTTTCACTTTTTTCTTTCCTTCTCTCCTTCCTTGCTTCTCTATCTTTCTCTCTTTCCTTCTTTCCCTCCCTGCTTCTCTCCTTCCTTCCCTTTTTCCCTCCTTCTCTCGTTACTTCTTGACTGTCCCTTCCATTTAATATTGTATTTCTATCTTAGAAAGAAGGAAAGGAAGAAGGAAGGAAGCAGGGACAGGAAGGAAGGAAAAGAAAGAAGGAGGGACAGGAAGGGAGGGAGGAAGGAGGGAAAGAAAGGAGGGGGATGAAGAAAGGAGGGAGGGAATGAAATGAAGAAAGGGAAAGAAGGTATGCATATCTTAGAAAGAAGGAAAGGAAGAAGGAAGGAAGGAGGGACAGGAAGGAAGGAAAAGAAAGGTGGGACAGGAAGGGAGGGAGGAAGGAAGGAAAGAGGAAGGAAGGAGGGAAAGAAAGGAGGGGATGAAGAAAGGAGGAAGGGAAGGAAATGAAGGAAGGAAATGAAGAAAGGGAAAGAAGGAGGAAAGGGAGGGAGAAAAGAAGGAAAGGAAGAAGGAAGGAGGGACAGGAAGGAAAAAAGGAAGGGAGGGAGGGAAGAAGGGAAGGAAGGAAAAAAGAAGGAGGGACAGGAAGGGAGGAAGGAAGGAGAAGGAAGGGAAGGAGAAGGAAGGAGGGAAAGGAAGGGGGGGTGAAGAAAGGAGGGAGGGAAGGAAATGAGAAGGGAAGAAGAGAAGGGAGGGAGGAGAGGAAGGAAAAGAAGAGAAGGAGGGACATGAAGGAAGGGAAGGAGGGAAAGAAGGAAAGGAAGGAGAAGGAAGGAAGAAAAGGAAAGGAAGGAAGGAAAGGGAGGAAAGAAGGGAGGGAGAGAAGGAAGGTCCTTCATTCAAGCACCGTGGACCTTCCTCGCCTCCTCCCCCTCCCCCTCCCCCCCTCCTCCCCCTCCCCTTCTTCCTTGCGTGGATGCTCCGTTGCTGCTGCCATTGCTGCTGCTTTCCCAACAGGGAAAGGAGGAGGAGGAGACTGCTCTCCTGACATAGGAGGGAAAGAGAAGGGGCTGCATGCGGCGCGCCTCCACTCCACTCGCTTGTGTGTGTGTGTGTGTGTGGCCGTGCACGTGTGCCTGGCTTTAACGGCCGGCTGTTTCCCCGCGAGGAGGGGGGCGTGGCCATGGGTCTCTGTAGACATGCAGTTTCCCCTTTGTGGACATGCAGTTTAGAAGTCCTTTCTGCTTTTTGTTTTCATTGGGTTTTTTTTTTTTTTTTGAGTGGAGAACATACATTGGGTTGTTAGGGACATAGTGTCCAAATTTGGTGTCAATTGCCCCAGTGGTTTCTGAGTTCTGTGAATAGCACAAACGAACATTACATTTTTATTCATATAGATTTTTATGAGATAGTCCTGTCGTGTAATGGTACATGTACTACTATCATGCAATGGTGACATGCAGTAGTACTATTCTATTATGCTATTATTATTCAATAGTGCTGTCATATGATAGTAATATTATGTAATAGCGCTAATATAATAGTGACAGGCGGTAGTATTAATCTATTGTAATCTTATGCAATGGTGCTATCATATAATGGTAATATTATGCAATAGTATTGTTCTATTTTGCCCAGTTTACCTGTCCTAATGCATCCCCCCTTTACAAACCACTGCGGAAACTAAGATCTGGGGAGGCCCTGCTCTCAGTTCCGCCACCATCACAGGCCCGTTTGGCGATGATGAGAGACAGGGCCTTCTCAGTGAGTGTTATGGAACTCCCTTCCTGGCAATATTAGATCAGCCCTCCTTCACCTCCTGGATGGTGAAGACCTGGCTGTGGGACCAATCCTTTGGGGCAGTGCAGTGAGGCAAAATGGTGTCTTGAGATGGTTTTTACGCAACTTTTAATGTGGCTATAAGTGATTTTAATGTTTGTATACATTTATGGTTTTATGTCCCAGAATTGAATGTTTGCCTTATATATGTTGTGCTCCACCCTGAGTCCCCTGTGGAGTGAGAAGGGCGGAATATAAATGTAATAAATAAATATAGTCCTCTCATGTAATGGTAATATTATGCTTCACTATTATTATATAATGGTGACATGCGGTAGTACTATTCTATTATGGTAATATTATGCAATAGTGCTATCCTGTAATGGTAATATTATGTTTTGCTGCTATTATATAATGGTGATAGGCTATAGTACTATTCTATTATGGTAATGTTATGCTATAGTACTATTATAAAAAGGGGCCCCCTGGTGATGCAGCAGGTTAAACCACTGACCTGCTGAACTTGCTGGCCAAAAGGTTGGCGGTTTGAATCTGTGGAGCGGGATGAGCTCCCGCTGTTAGCCCCCAGCTTCTGCCAACGTAGCAGTTCCAAAACATGCAAATGTGAGTAGATCAATAGGTACTGCTTTGGCGGGAAGGTAATAGTGTTCCATGCAGTCATGCGGCCACATGACCTTGGAGGTGTCTATGGACAACGCTGCCTCTTCAGCTTAGAAATTAAGATGAGCACCACCCCCCAGAGTCGGACTCGACTAGGCTTAATGTTGAGGGGAAAACCTTTATCTTTACTTATAATGGTAATATTATGTGAAACTGCTAATATAATTGTTATATGCAATAGTACTATTCTATTATTGTAATATTATGCGATAGTACTGTTTAATAATAATAATAATAGTAATAATAATAATAGTAATAGTAATGGTCGGTAGCAGATGCAACAGGATTCAAACAGTGATAAAACACTGTGTTTTGCAATTCTTCTAAAATATTGAGTTTTTAAATAAAATTACTTTTTGTCCCTTTCCCTGCTGGTAGCTCGACAGAAAATTATACTTTATACCTAGCAACAGTTTTGGGTGGAAGGTCAAAGAGATTTTGTATTTCCCCTAAAAGTATTTAAGTTACGACGCATTTACTCCCTCCCTCCCTCCTTCCTTCATTCCTTCCTTCCCCTCCATCCTTTCCTTCTTTTGCTTCTCCAATAGGAATGCCATACGGCAGTAGAGAGAACTCCCTCCTCTACTCCGAGATCCCCAAAAAGGTACGGAAGGAAGCCCTGCTCTTGTTGTCATGGAAACAGATGCTGGATCACTTCCAGGTGAGCGAGGACAGAGGGTGGACTTCCTGGTGCCCTCCTCCGCTGTGGGGATGAGATCCCGATCCCACTTTGTAGGGTGGGTGCGTTCCCAATGGGGACACGGCAGAGACCAACACTGATGCGCGACTCACGCCCCACTCCCTGTCCCTTTCCCTCGTTGACTCCCGCTGCCCCCCGCCAGGCCACCCCCCACCACGGGATGTACTCCAGGGAGGAGGAGCTGCTGCGGGAACGGAAGCGGCTGGGCGTCTTTGGCATCACCTCCTACGACTTTCACAGTGAGAGCGGCCTCTTCCTCTTCCAGGCCAGCAACAGCCTCTTCCACTGCCGGGACGGAGGCAAGAACGGCTTCATGGTGAGTGAGTTTGGATCAGGAAGGTGGAGATGGAGCCTCTCTCATCACCACCAAGGTCTTGGGCATAGTCATAGAATCATCAAGTTGTCAGAGAACATCTAGTCCAACCCCCTTCTTCCATGCAAGAACAGCACAATCAAAGCACCCCTGATAGATGGCCATTCAGCCTCTTTAAAAGCTTCTAAAGAAGGAGATTTTACCAGACTCTGAGGCTAGAGTCCCACTGTTGAAGAGCTCTCCTTACAGAGGAGAAAGCTTTTCCTAATGTTCATGTAGAATCTCCTTTCCTGTCATTTGAACCCAGGGCTCTTGTCATGAATCCCCTCTGAGACTTCAAAGGGATGACCTCAGAGGAGTCCATGCCACAGCTGGAAATTTCCAACTGACTGTATCATCAAGGTTGAGAAAAAAGATGCAGTCATAACAGTTGAAGTCCTGGGGTTTGATGTAGATAGCTGGGAACTTAGAGGCCTGGGAATATGTAAACGTAAACAAAGTAGGCCGAGCTGAGAGGAAAGAGGGCTTATTTTTCATGTCAGAAGCGAATTGAGGGTACAAACAACATTAAAAACTTGGCATGGTACTAAATGTCCTTTGACCAGAAGCTGGCCACTTGGAGTGCCTCTGGTGTTGCTGTGAGGAGGTCCTCCATTGTGCATGTGGCAGGGCTCAGGTTGCATTTTAGTAAGTGGTCTGTCGTTCGCTCTCCTCCACACTTGCATGTCGTGGACTCCACTTTGTGACCCCATTTCTTAAGGTTGGCTCTGCATCTGTCCAGCGCCCAGCCTTCTGTGTGCCCATGAGGGATTTTCTGATCCAGTCTCAGCCACTGATTCAGATGCTGGGTTTTAACCTGCGACTCTTGGACTCTCGCTTGCTGAGGTGTTCCTGCGAGTATCTTTTTGAATCTTAGGAAACTTTTCCTTGATTTAAGTCATTGGCATGCTGGCTGATACCCAAACGGGATGGGCCGGAGATGTCACTGCTTTGATCCTTTCATTACAGGCTGCTACTTCCCTGCAGATGCCAGGTGGTACAATACTGGTGAAACAGTGTAATTTCTCCAGTGGTGTGGGGCGTAGACATCCTGTGATAATGTGGCATGCCTCATTAAGAGCTAAATCCACTGTTTTAACATGGTTAGATGAATTTCATACTGGGCATGCATACTCAGCAGCAGAGTAGCCAAGTACAAGGACAGATGTCTTTGCTGTGTCTGGTTGTGATCCTCAGGTTGTGCCAGTCAGCTTTTTGTATGATATTATTTCTGTCTCCCACTTTTTGCTTGATAGTCAAGCAGTGCTTCTTGTAAGTCAGAGTGACTCCCAGGTATTTGGGTGTGCTGCAATGCTCCAGTGGGATTCCTTCCCAGCTAATCCTCAGAGCTTGAGATGCTTGTCTGTTCTTAAGGCGAAAAGCACACAACTGTGTTTTAGATGGATTAGGCAGTAAGAGCACCTAAAGCTTCGGAGAGCTTCTTTTCGACCATTTCAAAGCTCCCTGCTTTGGTGGTGATGGCATGATTGTCAGCAAAGATGAAACTCTGTCCCTTCTAACAGTGGCTGATCATTTGTGTAAATGTTAAACATTGCTGGAGCAAGCATGCTCCCCTGAGGCAGATTGTTCTTTTGTCTTCGCCATCTACTTCTCTGGCTCTACTCAACAAAAAAGCTCCTGTTTTGTAGCAGATTTCATATGGAGAGGGTGAGGTGGTGATTCAAAAAATCATCACCATAGCAGTCAAAAGTGCTGGGGTTTGATGTAAATAGCTAGGAACTTAAAGGCATGAGAATATGTAAACATAAACAGTCGGCTGGGCTGAGAGAAAGGAGGGCTGTTGCCTGCAGATAGATCAATGTCTTTCGTGCCAAAAGCTCAGAAGTAACTTGTTCTCTAACCTGTAATGATCTGGAATAAAGGAATCTGTTTCAGACTTTGGCGGTGAGTAGATTTCGCCTAGAGATCTGCAGGCCAAGGCAGCTCCATTGAGTCCAAGTCTCCAGGGCAGCAGAAAACCAGCCTGCTCCCTCTCCCTTTGGACAGTATTTAAATATGGCTCTCATGTTTCCTCTCAGCCTTCTCTTCTGAAGGCTAAACAGACCCAGATCTTTCACCTGCTCCTCCTCATGGGGTCCTCCTTTGGATGGATCCTATTTGGTGTTGGAATGATGATGATGAAGAAGAAGGGCTAACTTGATGTAGTAGTTTGAGCATCTGTCTGCTATTATGGGCACCTTCTTGGCCTCCAAGGAAAGCAAAGGTGAACCCATCTGGGGCAATCTTTGGCAATCATTGGTTTTCCATAAGGACTTGAAAAAATTTCCCTCTCTCTCGTATCCATCTTCTATTGGGCAGGTCTCTCCCATGAAACCGCTGGAGATCAAGACACAGTGCTCCGGTCCCCGGATGGATCCCAAGATCTGCCCGGCAGATCCCTCATTCTTTGCTTTCATCAATAACAATGATCTTTGGGTGGCAAACATCGAGACCCGGGAGGAGCGACGAATGACGTTTTGCCAGAAAGGTAAAACATGAAAGAGGAAAACACAATGAGAGGTCGAGATGCTGGGTGGGGAGTCTCCTTTCCGGTTCCTAGCTGTAACCTCCCCCCCCCCCCCCCCCCCCCAATTCTCTTCTTCTAAAGGGTTGTCTAGTGTCCTTGACGACCCCAAATCAGCTGGTGTGGCCACCTTTGTCATCCAGGAAGAGTTTGACCGGTTTACAGGGTACTGGTGGTGTCCCACGGCTTCCCAAGAAGGTGAGTTTTGTGGACAGGCATTCGAGGGCAGGCGCCCCCGCTTAAAAGGCCCTGCCTTGTTTGTACTCAGGTGAGGAGGTAGATGGATTGAGACTTTAAGAGGTCCCACCTAATCATTAGGAAGACTCTTCTGGCTGTTAGAGCGGTTTAGCAACAGAATAGATGATGATGATGATGATGATGATGATGATGATGATGATAATGGAGAATTGCAAGAGCCGCAAAACAAACCTCTATACAACTTGGATTGATTACAACAACAAAAAAAATCATTTGACTCACTGCCACATTGTTGGATCATCAAATGTCTAGATGTCACTGAGGTTTGTGAACATATTAGAAAGTTCACTGAAAATGCAATAAAACAATGGAAAACTGAGTTGTTTGTGGGCAATGAAAGCTATGGAATTGTTAACATCAAGAGAGGAATTTTCCAGGGTGACTCACTGTCATCACTGTTGTTAATCATTGAAATTATTTATTTATTTATTTATTTACAACATTTATATGCCACCCTTCTCACCCCGAAGGGGACTCAGAGCAGCTTACAAGATATATATATACATACAATATATTATATTATTAGCATAGCACAATATCAGACTTAACCATGTTGGAACCTGCTTCGAACCCCAAGGGGAGGCGGATAATTAACAATAATAGTAATAATAATAATATTAATTAATTTTCTTCAAGGCCCAGAGGGCTGGAAGACGTTACGGATCCTGTACGAGGAGGTAGACGAGTCGGAGGTAGAAGTGATCCACGTTCCTTCCCCGGCTTTGGAAGAGCGGAAGACCGATTCCTATAGATATCCCAGAACAGGTCAGTGGGAAGAGACCTGGGAAGGCTGCTGTTGAAGACCGCAAGGCTCGATCTTGCATTGCCTGAGGTCCTAATCTTGGACTCAAACCAGCAGAGGCTGAAGGGGGGGATGGGCTAGATGACCCTTGGAGGTCCCTTCTAACTCTATGGTTCTAAATAAACATAATCATCATCATAATTTACCCTCTTATTTCAGGTAGCAAGAACCCCAAGATCTCCCTCAAGATGGCTGAGTTCCAAGCCGACTGTGAGGGGAAGGTAAGCTCGGCTTTGCTGGATTGTCTTGCTCTATATTGTCTTTATAATTGCGGAAATAGAGCAGCAGCACACAAAGGTAGAGGCGGGAGAGGATTCCTTGAGTAAAGAACGAATCATAGCCTTTGTTGCTGTTGTTTGTAGATTGTCTGCGCCCAGGACAAGGAGCTGGTACACCCCTTTGAAACCATGTTCCCAAACGTGGAGTACATCGCTCGGGCCGGGTGGACACGTGACGGACGATAGTAAGTTCCTTTGAAGCTTAGTTGCGGGCAGAGAGAGGCTCCAGCCAGAATCCACTGGCCTTCCTCGGCCTCTCAGAGACACGTCTCAGGATGGGCGGTTTGGGCACTGAATGAGACAGAGAGGCCTTGGATGGGAAGTGATGGCTTGCAACTTTGATTTCCATGTTTGGTTCATTTGTTTACATTTCACTTCCATTGCCTTCCTTTTCTCTCTTCATCCTTTTTTCTTCCTCCCTCCTCCTTTTTCTTCTTCCTGCTTTCTCTTCATCTCCTGCCTCCAACCCCTACTCCCTTCTTCTCCCTCTCTTCCTCCTCCTCTCCTCTTGTCGCTCCCCTCTTCTCCATTCTCTACCTCCTTTCCTTCCTCTCTCCTTCCCTCCATTTGATGCTGTCCTTCTCTTCCACCTTTCTTCCCTCTCTCTTCCTTCTGCTTGTGCTGCCCTTCTCTCCTTTCTTTTACTTGTCACTGTCCTCTCTTACCTCTCCTCTCTCTCTCCTTCTTTGTCACTTCCCTTCTGTCTCTCCTCCCTCTCTCCTTCCTTCCATCTGTTGCTGCCCTTCTCTTCCTCCTTTCCCACCTCCTCTCTTCCTTCTGCTTGTCATTACCCTTCTCTCCTTGCTTTTCCTTGTCACTTCCCTTCTGGCCCTCATTTCCTCCCTCTCTCATCCTTTTCATCTGTTGCTGCCCTTCTTTTCCTCCCTCTCTCTTCCTTACGCTTGTCACTGCCCTTCTCTCCTTCTTTTTCTTTGTCACTTCCCTTCTGCCCCTCCTTTCCTCCCTCTCTCCTTCCTTCCATTTGTTGCTGCCCTTCTTTTCCTCCTTTCTTCCCTCTCTCTTCCTTCCTTCCACTTGTCGCTGCTCTTCTCTCCCCCCTTCTTCCTTTCCTCTTTCTTCTCTCTGCTTGTTGCTTCCCTTCTCTCCCTCTCTTCTCCCTCTTTCTTTCCTTCTTTCCTTTCCAGTGCTTGGGCCATGTTCCTGGACAGGCCTCAGCAGCACCTCCAGCTCATCCTTTTCCCTCCCGCGCTCTTCATCCCGGTCCCGGAGAGCGAGGAGCAGCGCCGAGAGTTGGCCAAAGCCGTGCCTGATAGCGTCCACCCCTTCGTCATCTACGAAGAAGTCACCGATATCTGGATAAACGTAAGAGCAGGCCAATTCCCAGCTCTGGACTCCCTCATCATTCACATGGTGTTCTATGAAATACAGCTCTATCTGTTCTATACTACTCCTTATTCTAGTGTCATCCATTCCATATAATTGCTGGAATGTATTTTCTTTCTTGGCATATTTCTAAAAAATGTTATTGAGCCCAAGAGGCCTTTGGTGACCATCGAGCCATGTCTGGCATGCATCTGTAGACCTGTCTTGGAATGATTCGCTCATGGCTGACTGTGTCCTTGTCTTCCTCGCCCAGGTCCACGACATCTTCTACCCTTTTGCCCAGACGGAGGGGGAAGAGGAGGAGGAGCTTCACTTCATCCGGGCCAACGAGTGCAAGACGGGCTTTTGCCACCTCTACCGGGTCACGGCCCTCCTGCAGCGGGGCAGCTACGACTGGACCCAGTCCTACGTCCCCAGCAAAGGTGGGAATCCCCTGTTGAGTGGTGATAGGGTTCTTCTTATAAGATGATGGGGTCTTCCTCTGAGATTTGCCAAGAAGGTTTCCTTGACGCAGACCTGAATCCTGTCATTGGGGTGTTGTTGATTTCTCCCCATTGGTCTCAAGCCAAAGCATCTCTCCAAACACTAGATTGGGCTTCTGTTCTAATTCCTTATATTTTCATCTTAATGTCCCCCCAACGTTTTCCTTTTAATTGAATCTCCAGGAGACTTCAAATGCCCTCTCAAGGAGGAAGTTGCTCTCACGAACGGAGAATGGGAAGTTCTCGCACGACACGGCTATAAGGTATTGTTGTATGATACATGTATAGTAAAAATAATATTTGAATCTGTATATGCGTTAGGTTTTAATTCACACACTGTTGTGGTTTTTAGTGCTAACTGCTTTGAGTCTCCTTTGGTTGAGTTAAAATGGGGCATAAATATCTCTATCTATTCTATTCTATACACATAATAAAAGTGAAAAATGTGTATGTGTGTATGTGGCAGAGATGTCCACTTACACAGACAGCCTCTGGCCTCCACAAACAGGCTATAGTTCCAAGTCCTTAGAAGCCTGTAAAGCATTGGTTCTCAACCTGTGGGTCCCCAGGTGTTTTGGCCTACAACTCCCAGAAATCACAGCCAGTTTACCAGCTGTTAGGATTTCTGGGAGTTGTAGGCCAAAACATCTGGGGACCCACAGGTTGAGAACCACTGCTCTAAAGGGACTCCCGCCACAGACATTGCAGGTTAGAGCGAGCACCATGAACATGTAGCCCAAACGCTGCCAATGTCCTCTCCAAACACTACGGCCTACCACCCAAGGAATGCTTTCATTTGGGGAGAATTTAATCCTAGATTTGACATGTTTCCTCCACCACAAACAGGCATCCCAGGGTTCCTTGTGTGGATTTTGACCCTGCCCACTGTCTCTCCCTTAACCCTTTCCTACCCTTTCCTATGGCACACAGCAAACACAAAGGAATTGATCAGCAACTGAACGGACTGGCGGGGTCTGACAATGGACCGGGATCAAACTTGGCACAGAGAAGCCCCATGACCAACTGAAAATATTGCAGGGGTTTGGAGAAAATGACCTTGATTTTGGGAGATGTAGTTCACCTGCACCCCAAGAGCACTCAACCCAACTGATGACTGATCTGGACCACACTTGGCACACAGACCCAACATGGCCAACTGTAAATACTGGCTGGGTTTGGGGGCAATTGCCCTAGGAATCTGGTAGTTGTAGTTCACCTTTATCCAGAGAGCACTGAACCCAGCTGACGACAGATCTGGACCAAATTTGGCACACAGATCCAACATGGCCAACTGTGCATACAGGCCTGGTTTGACCTATGATTCTGGGAATTGCAGTTCACACACATCGTTATGTATTTTCTAATGGGAGCATTCATAAAACCGAAATCAAACTCAAAATCAACCCCCCACCCCACCCCCACCAGTATTCAAATTTGGGCATCTCGGGTATTTGTGCCAAATGTGGCCCAGTGAATGAAAATACATCCTGCATATCAGATATTTACATTACGATTCATAACAGTAGCAAAATTACAGTTATGAAGTAGCAACCAAAATAATGTTATGGTTGGGGGTCACCGGAACGTGAGGAACTTTATTGAGGGGTCACAGCAATAGGAAGGTTGAAAACCACTGAACTAGAGCATTGAAAGGATCGCCTACCGAAGTGGCGGGAAACTCCACAAGAACTGTCAGGAATCTGTCCCGATCCATCAGCCTCCTGGGTGGGCCATCTTAATTGGTCCTCCAATTAAGATCAGGTGCAGATCAGGTGATGATCTATTGATGTTTAATAAAATCATAGAGTTGGAAGGGACTCCCAAAGGTCATCCAGTCCAACCCTCTTTTGCCAGGCAGGAAGACTACAAGAAAGAAGATTCCATCTGAACATTAGGAAGAACTTCTGACTGATAGCTGTTCAGCAGTGGACTTTCTGCCCCAGAGTGTAGTGGAGGCTCCTTTTTTGGAGGCTTTTAAACAGAGGCTGGATAGCCATCTTTCTGGGATGCTTTGAATGCGATTTTCCTGTTTCTTGGCAGGGGGTTGGACTGGATGGCCCATGAGGTCTCTTCCAACAATGATTCTATTATTCTAAGACACACTCCAAGCCCTCTTGACCTACAACAGGACCGACTCTCTTTGTGATCCTATCAAAACGTTTATTTGCCCGTCTCTCCTCCCACTGCAGATTTGGGTGAACGAAGAAACCAAGCTGGTGTACTTCCAGGGCACGAAGGACACTCCTCTGGAGCATCATCTCTACGTGGTCAGCTACGAATCACCCGGTGAAGTGGTCCGGCTCACCACCTTGGGCTTCTCTCACAGCTGCTCCTTGAGCCAGGTATGTTGGGTGGGACATCAACTTAAGAGCACCCCAACTTAAGAGCATTTTGAGTTAAGAGCCATCACTTGGCCTTGGTTTCATTTTGACATAAGAGTGTTATGAATAATTTTTCAACAAAGCATAGGTTCTTTTTATTGTAATGTTCAGTAGGAGGAAGGGTATCAGGACTTTTACACAAAGAACAACATTGGACATCCAGACATACAGATTCCATGTAATTACATTGAATACACAAACAACCTACAGTTACCTCAGCTAACAAACAAAGGGGAATTACCTTTTTATGCAGCATTCACATTACATATACACATTCATTTATCCTCAGTCATAGAAGTATTACAATAACCTTTTTCACTCCTTGGAGAAGCACCTGCTTAGGCCAGACCCTACTTTCTCTGCAGCCTGCCAACACACAGTTCCAAAATGCATCCTCTTTTACTAAGAACAATGCCAAGAACTAGATCCCTGTTTTCCTACAGCAGAAACTGATTCCCTGCAAACATATAATGACTACAAAATAAGAGTGTTCTCTTCCCTTGAGAAAAGAAGGCAAATGTCCAGAATCCTGCTTTCCCATAGCAGATCTGCTGCTCCCAAAGGTACCCCATCTCTCCCCTTCCCATGGAGCAGAGCATGGCAGGTGGGCCAGACTCCTCCAGTCTGGCACAATTTTGGAATATTAGAAGGTCTCTTATATAGCAACATTCTTGCTGATGTTGTTCCAAAGGTGTAAATGAATGGTAGATGTTTTTACATCCTGGCTTTATCTCAGTTCCTGGCAGATGTTGACTCTTCTTAATTGGTGTTGGTAAACATAAGGAGCCTTGTGTTGACTTCCTTCTTAATGTAAGGAACCTTGTAAACATTTCTTTAACTTAGAGCCATTTTCTCTCATAATGTAAACAAAGATAATTTCCTTTAGAGTTAATCTGTTTTCTGGTCAGCAAATGTTGACAGATGTAAACATTTCTCTTATCACTGTCATAGTTCTTATCACAGTTTACTATGACAGGTCAACCATTTCAGTTTTCATTAGCAGGTTTTAATTACAGTTCAGCAAGCAGATAGTTAATGGTTTAGTCATTGCAGGCCTTAGTCTTAAGAATGTCTCCAAAATTATTAGCTTTCATTCATTCCTTCCTTTCATTCCGTTCATTCATACCCACACATATTAAATCCACATTTATCAAATCTGCATATCATTTTAATATGACACGAGCAGCGTTTTGGGTTTTAGGTTCGCTTTGAGGAACTTCGGGGTAGTGGATTTTGTGTGCTTTTTATTCCTTGTAGGTTTGGTTTCATGAAGGGGGGGGGAGGAATGGAGGGAGTCTGGAATGAGTACAGTGGGAAGAAAATAATAATAATACTTTATTTATATCCCACCCCGAGAGAACTCGGAGCAGCTTACAACAATGTGAGCAATGCAAACAATAAACAGTATTATAACAAACAATTAAAATTAAAACAACAAAAAACCCCAAAAAGGCAATATGAAGTGAAAACAAACATATATCACTCCGGAGCCATTCTGACTTGTGTCTTTTTCCACCCCCTGCAGAACTTTGACATGTTTATCAGCCATTACAGCAGCGTGAGCACCCCTCCCTGTGTCCATGTTTACAAGCTGAGTGGCTCCGATGAGGACCCCCTCCACAAGCAGCCCAGGTTTTGGGCTAGCATGATGGAAGCCGCCAGTGAGTTTCCGTCTCTCTTGCTTCTCATCTCCTTGAGTTCTTTCCCTCCCCAAAAGTCACTGTTCAAACGTGTTTATAAATACAATAGTATTAACGTTGAGCCAACAATGTTATGCAGCAGCATCAAAAGGATTCTAGGGTCTAGATCAAGGGAAGTCATGGTGCCCCTCTCTTCTGCTTTAGTCAGACCACTGGAATAAACCTGTGTCTAATTCTGGGCCCCACAATTTAAGAGAGATATTGACAATGTGGAAAGTGTCCAGAGGAGGGCAATTAAAATTATCAAAAGTCTAGAGACCATGAATGTTCCCTCTGAGGAGTGGCTGAAAGAGCTGGGTCTGTTTTGCCTGCAGAAGGTTGAGAGGAGACTTGATAGCCATGTATATAAGGAAGAGGAATGAGACTTGTTTTCTGCAACCCTGGAAACTAGGTCTCTATGAATCCATGTGTTCAAATGACAGAGGAGGAGAATCCACTTGAATTTTAGGAAGAACTTCCTGACTGTAAGAGCTGTTCAGCAATGGAATTTTCTGCCTCAGAGTCTGGTAGAAGCTCCTTCCTTGGAAGCTTTTAAACAGAGACTGGATGGCCATCTGTCAGGGTTATTTTGATTGTGCTTTTCCTGCATGGTAGGGGGTGGACTAGATGGCCCATGCAGTCTCCTCCAAATCTATGGTTCTAACATTAGCAACATAGACCGAATCACAAGAAGGAGGTCGTCCCTAGGGAAGGACTTTCAGAGCCTACGCACAGCTCTTACGTTCCTATCATTGACGTCTACGAAGGTGGTGGGATTCAGAGAAGAGCCTCTCCTGAAGATCTCAGAGCTCAAGCAGGGTCATATAAGGACATCACGATACCCCATGTTTGTAATTTGAGTACGTCTTGCACCTGGATCCCCCGGCTGATGTTTTCCTCCTCCTCCCTTTGGCCTTTGTGTAGGCTGCCCTGCCGACTACATCCCACCGGAGATCTTTCACTTCCGCACCCAGTCGGATGTGGAGCTGTATGGGATGGTGTACAAACCTCATGACCTCCAGCCGGGAAGGAAGCACCCCACAGTCCTCTTCGTGTACGGAGGACCTCAGGTAGAACATGACGGGTGCAGCGCCCAAGCTTAAGTGACCTAAAGTCAACCCAGAGCTATTAGAGTGCAGTTTCGAAGGAAGGAAGGGCCTTTTGGGCATAACTTGCAAGCTGGGAGGGCAAACCAATCACAGGGATCTATTTCTGATAGCAAAATGGAACTACCATCTACCTTAGACTACTATTTATTTATTTATCGTGTCAGAAGCAAATTGAGAATACAGTTATAATGTATAGAAAAACCATAAAGTTAAAAACTTGGCATGATACTAAATGTCCTTTGACCAGAAGCTAGCCACTTGGAGTGCCTCTGGTGTCACTGTGAGAAGGTCCTCCGTTGTGCATGTGACAGGGCTCAGGCTGCATTGTAGTAGGTGGACTGTGGTTTGCTCTTCTCCACACTTGCATGTCGTGGACTCCACTTTGAAGCCTAATTTCCTAAGGTTAGCTCTGCATCTCATGGTGCCAGAGCGCAAACTGTTCAGTGCCTTCCAAGTCATCCAGCCTTCGGTGTACCCAGGAGTGAGTTTCTCATCCAGTCTCAGCCACTGATTGAGGTTCCAGGTTTTAACCTGCCACTTTTGGACTTTTCGCTTGTTAAGGTATTCCAGTGAGTATTTCTGCAGATCTTAGGAAGCTATTTCTTGATTAAAGGTGTTCACTTGCTGGCTGATATTCGAACAGAGGATGGGCCGGAGATGTCACTTACTTCGTCCTTTCATTATTGGTTGCTACTTCCTGGTGGATGTCAGGTGGTGCAATACCGGCTAAACAGAATAATTTCTCCAGCAACATAGGGTGCAGACGTTCTATGATAATGCAGCATTTCTCATTCAGAGCCACATCCACTGTTTTAATGTGGTGGGATGTATTCCACACTGGGCATGCGTATTCAGCAGCAGAGTGACAAAACACAAGGGCAGATGCCTTCACCGTGTCTGGTTGTGATCCCCAGGTTGTGCCAGTCAGCTTTCGTATGATATTATTTTTAGCACCAACTTTTTACTTCATATTCTAGCAGTGCTTCTTGTAAGTGAGAGCACGATCCAGAGCAATTCCCAGGTATTTGCGTGTGCTGCAATACTCCAGTGGGATTCCTTCCCAGGTCATCCTCAGAGCTTGAGATGCTTGTCTGTTCTTAAGGTGAAAAGCACATGTCTGCATTTTAGATAGATTAGGAATCAGCTGGTTTCTTCTGTAATAGGCAGTAAGAGCTTTGGAGAGCTTCTGTTCAACTGTTTCAAAGCTCCCTGTTTGAGCGGTGATTACACGATCATCAGCATAAACAAAATTATCTCTCCCTTCTGGCATTTGCTGGCCATTTGTGTAAATGTTGAACACTGATGGAGCAAGCACGCTCCCCTGAGGCAGGCCGTTCTCCTGTCTTCGCCATCTGCTTCTCTGGCCCTGGAACTCAACAAAAAAGCTCCTGTTTTGTAGCAGATTTCCTTTGAAGCGGATGAGGTTGTAGTCTTTTGTGATATTCTGATAGCAAAATGGAACTGCCATCTACCTTAGACTACTGGATGCCTTGGATTAAAATTCCAGCTGTAGAAACCATGACCTTTGGTGATTCAGTAGGCCATTCCACACGATACAAATCTAGATCTGTGGTTCCATGTTAATTGGGAATCTCCAACTACATTTCGACCTACTTCAACCGCTATAGTTCTATCACACTGAATCTTGGGAGTTGCACTGTAGGTACAACTCCCAGGATTCAATGTGATAGAACTATAGCGGTTGAAGTAGGTCGAAATATAGTGCGATAATTGTGCAGCGTGAAGCAGCTCATTCTCTCTCAGGATTCAGAGAAAAGCAGTGGCAGACCTCTGAATCAATCTTGCCAAGTAAGCCCCATTTTTAAGGTTATCGTAAGTCAGAGTCAACTTGCAGATATATAACAGCCACAACAAATATGAAACGCCAGTTGCCATGGTTCCCTTCTTATAGGGTTTCTCAAATGATAGAAATATCTACCAAGGTAGGGAGGAATGATATCTAGAGAATACCGATTTTCCTTTATTTCTCTGATTGCCCTTCCTCTGCTCTTTGCAGGTCCAGTTAGTGAATAACTCCTTCAAAGGCATCAAGTACCTACGGCTCAATACGCTGGCCTCCCTCGGCTACGCTGTGGTGGTGATCGACGGCCGGGGCTCCTGCCAACGAGGCCTTAAGTTCGAAGGCGCCCTCAAGAACCAGATGGTGAGTTGCTCCTCCTCGCAATTCCCATTGCGATAAGAAAAGTTGCCCCCTTTCCTATGGAAATCGTGTGTGCTTGGAGGAGGGAAAGACCAGTCTATGTTTCCTTGAGCAATCTGCTTGATAGCAAAATGTGTTGATTGAAATATTCATACCCCGCTTTGTGCTTGAAGATCTTAGGGCAGCAGATAACCAAATCTAACAAACTTAAAGTAGTATAAATGTATTTATAGTGTCAGAAGTGAATTGAGAATACAGTTATAATGTATAGAAAAACCACAAAGTTAAAAAATTGACATTATGTTAAATGTCCTTTGACCAAAAGCTGGCCACTCGGAGTGCCTTTGGTGTCCTTGTGCATGTGGCAGGGCTCAGGCTGCATTGTAATAGGTGGTCTGTTGGTTTGCTCTTCCCCACATTTGCATGTTGTGGACTCCACTTTCTGGCCCCATTTCCGAAGAGTGGCTTTGTATCTTGTGGTGCCAGAGCACAGTCTGTTCAGTGCCTTCCAGTGCCAGTGCCTCATCTTCTGTGTGCCCAGGAGAGAGTTTCTCATCCAGTATCAGCAACTGATTGAGGTTCCAAGTCTTAGCCTGCCACTTTTGGACTCTCGATTGCCGAGGTGTTCGTGCGAGTGTCTCTGTAGATCTCAGGAAGCTGTTTCTTGATTTAAGGCATTGGCATGTTTGCTGATATCTGAACAGAAGATTACTGGCTGCTACTTCCTGGCAGATATCAGGTGGTGCAGTACCGGCTAAGCAGTATAATTTCTTCAGTGGTGAGGGGTGTAGACATCCTTTGACAATGGGGACTATCTCATTAAGACAGTGGTTCTCAACCTGTGGGTCTCCAGGTGTTTTGGCTACAACTCCCAGAAATCCCAGCCAGTTTACCAGCTGTTAGGATTTCTGGGAGTTGTAGGCCAAAACATCTGGGGACCCACAGGTTGAGAAGCACTGCATTATGAGCCACACCCACTGTTGTAACATGGAGAGATCTCTTCCACACTGGACATGTGTATTCAGCAGCTGAGTAGCAAAGTGCAAGGGCAAATGTCTTCACTGTGTCTGGTTGTGATCCCCAGGTTGTGCCAGTCAGCTTTCATATGATATTGCTTCTAGCACCCACTTTTTGGTTGATATTCAAGCAGTGCTTCTTGTAAGTCAGAGCACGGTTCAGGGTAACTCCGGGACATGGAACTGAGACAGCCATGGTCGCCTTAGTGTATGATCTCCGCAGAGAGCTCGACAGGGGGAGTGTGTCCTTGTTGGTTCTTCTGGACCTCTCAGCAGCTTTCGATACCGTAGACCACAGTATCCTTCTGGGGCACCTCATGGGGATGAGTCTTGGAGGGACTGTTCTGCAGTGGTTCCAGTACTTCCTGGAGGGTCGTACCCAGAAGGTGTTGCTGGGGGACTCCTGCTCGGCCCCACAGCCATTGTCCTATGGAGTCCCGCAGGGCTCAGTATTGTCCCCCATGTTAACATCTACATGAAGCCGCTGGGTGAGATCATCCGGAGTTTTGGAGTTCGATGCCATCTGTACGCAGATGACGTCCAACTCTATCACTCATTTCCACCAGATGCTAAGGAGGCTGTCCCAAGTCCTGAACTGATGCCTAGCTGCTGTGATGGTCTGGATGAGGGCAAGCAAATTAAAGTTGACTCCAGACAAGACAGAGCTCCTCCTGGTCAGTTGCAAGGCCGAACAAGGTATAGGGTCGCAACCTGTGCTGGACGGGGTCACACTCCCCTTCGCAGCTTGGGGGTCCTCCTGGACTCATCACTGAGCCTGGAATCCCAGGTTGCAGCTGTGGCCAGGGGAGCTTTCGCACAATTAAAACTAGTGCGCCAGCTGCGCCCGTACCTTGGGAAGCCAGACTTGGCCACGGTAGTCCACACTCTGGTTACATCTAGGATAGACTACTGCAATGCACTCTATGTGGGGTTGCCTTTGAAGACTGCTCGGAAGCTTCAAATAGTCCAACAAGAGGCAGCCAGGTTAATAACTGGGGCAGCATACAGGGAGCATACAAATCCTTTGTTACGCCAGCTCCACTGGCTGCCAGTTTGCTACCGGGCACAATTCAAAGTGCTGGATTTGACCTATAAAGCCCTAAATGGCCCCGGCCCAAATTACCTGTCCGAATGCATCTCCCCCATGAACCATTGCGGAGATTAAGATCCTCTGGGGAGGCTCTGCTTTCTGTCCCGCCATTGTCACAGGCACGATTGGTGGGGACGAGAGACAGGGCCTTTTCCCTGTAATATTTATTTATTTATTTACTACATTTATATACCTTTTTTCTTCTCCTAAGGAAACTCAAAGTGGCTTCCAACATTATAAAGTTGAAATTCAATGCCATACATACATGTGAAAACCAAAAAATAATAGCAAGACAATAGCATATAATACTAAATTAACCAAACTAAAGCATAAACATAAAAAAATATATACGTAAAGCCTTAGAAAAACTAAACATTGATAACATAATAACACTAGCTGTCCCCTGCCACACATTGCTGTGGCCCATTCTGATGGTCATGGGGGTTCTGTGTGGGAGGTTTGGCCCAATTCTGTCGTTGGTGGGGTTCTGAATGCTCTGTAATTGTAGGTGAACTACAAATCCCAGCAACTACAACTCCCAAATGTCAAGATTCTATTTTCCTCAAACTCCACCAGTGTTCACATTTGGCATATTGATTATTTGTGCAGAGTTTGGTCCAGATCCATCATTGTTTGAGTCCACAGTGCTCTTTGGATGGAGGTGAACTACAACTCCCAAACTCAAGGCCAATGCCCACCAAACCCTTCTAGTATTTTCTGTTGGTCGTGGGAGTTCTGTGTGCCAAGTTTGGTTCAGTTCCATCATTGGTGGGGTTCAGAATGCTCTTTGATTGTAGGTGAACTATAAATCCCAGCAACTAAAACTCCCAAATGTCAAGGTCTATTTTCGCCAAACTCCACCAGTGTTCATATTTGGGCATATTGAGTATTAGTGCCATGTTTGGTCCATATCATTGTTTGAGTCCACAGTGCTCTCTGGAGGGAGGTGAACTACAACTCCCAATCTCAAGGCGAATGCCCATCAAACCCTTCCAGTATTTTCTGTTGGTCATGGGAGAACTGTGTGCCAAGTTTGGTTCAATTCTATCATTGGTGGTGTTCAGAATGCTCTTTGATTGTAGGTGAACTATAAATCCCAGCAACTACAACTCCCAAATGACAAAATCATAATTTTTTGAGTGATGGTCACTCCTTGTGTTGTGAGACGTTTTGTTGCCGAATTTGGTATGGTTTCATTCATTGGTTCTTTTGTTTTTAAGGTACTCATTATGCACAGAGCATTTATATATATATAGATTTATATTAAAACCCAAGCAGTAAGAGTGCCTAAAGCTTTGGAGAGCTTCTGTTCAACCCTTTCAAAGCGCCTTGCTTGGGCAGTGATGGCACGATCGTCAGCATAGATAAAACTATTTGTACCTTCTGGTAGCAACTGGTCTTTTGTGTAAATGTGAAACATTGGTGGAGCAAGTACACTTCCCTAAGGCAGGCCAAATGGGAGCTCCAGGTGCAGTTCCTGAAGCAGCTTCTGCTTTTGGTCAATACTAAGATGGCCCTATTATGGGTATCTAATGTGCACCCTAATTTTGGCAAGTTGGTTTAGCCCCAGAAGGTGAGTGATAGTTTCGAGTCAATACAGGAACTAAAACAATCTGAATTGTACCTGGGTTGTTTTGGTGGTACGGACAACCCCACAGTCTTTCGGTTAGATTTGATTAAGATGGTGCTTCTCTTGCCAGGATGGCAAGGCATGAGATAGACGTGAAGCCATTCAAACAGGCTGATTTCCTCTCCCTTCTGCCATTTTCCTCCCAGGGTCAAGTGGAGATAGAAGACCAGGTGGAAGGTTTACATTACGTGGCGGAGAAATACGGGTTTGTGGACCTGGCCCGCGTTGCCATCCATGGCTGGTCCTACGGAGGCTTCCTCTCCCTCATGGGCCTCATCTGCAAACCTCATGTCTTCAAGGTAAGCCTCCAGGTCGCTTCCGCCCAGCCATTGCCATAAAGAACTCTTTCCCGTTCCTCCAGTGACACAGAAGAATTTTCATTCCTATTGAATACTATATCGAATAAAATATTGAATGGAAATAGTTCACATACAGTCAGTCTCTGATTGCTGGGTTGTTGTTTTTTTGACTACGCAAAAGTAGGAAAAAACACAAATTAAAAAATTACTGTTTTTATCAACTTCTCTAGGAATCACCAAATCCTCTGGTTTTTACTATGTTATGGTGTAATGTTGTTATTGCTTTATGTTTTTGATTTGCTTTGAATTGTATTGTTGTTGTTATGCTGTTGTTGTGTTGAGGCCTTGGCCTGTGTAAGCCGCATCGAGTCCTTTGGGAGATGCTAGCGGGGTACAAATAAAGTTTAATAATAATAATAATAATAATAATAATAATAATAATTGTCATATATAATAATAATAACAACTAGCTTGGGTCCCTGACGTTGCCCGGGTTATTTGAAAAAGTCATTTTTTAAATTGTACAAAATACATAAGGTTGTGAGTGAACTACAACTCACATCATGCCAGGTTCACCCCGAGAAACTCAATCAGAACTTGAGGTTAGTTATGTTGGGCAAGTTTGCTCTAGATTAATCATCGGTGGTGTTCAGTGTGCTCTCTGGCTGTAGGGTGAACTACAACTCCCACTATGATGAGTCAGTCCTCTTAAAGCCCTCCAGTAGATTGAGTTCGTCATGGGTGTTCTGTGTGCCAAGTGTAATCCAGGTCCATCATCTGTGGAGGTTACAGTTTCTCAGGTTTTGGGCAAACTACAACTCCCAGAAAAGAAGGTCATTTCTCCCAGACCCCTCCAGTAATCTGGCATATCACTTCTGTGTGCCAAGTCTGGTCCAAATCCATTGGTGTTTGGGTTCACAGTGCTGTCTGGATGTAGGTGAACTACAACTCTCCAAATCAAGGTGAATTTTCCCCAAAGGCCTCTAGTATTTTTTGCTGGTCATGGGGGCTCTGTGTGCCAAGTTTGGTCCAATTCCATCTTTGGTGGAGTTCAGAGGGCTCATTGATTGCAGGTGAACTATAAATCCCAGTACCTAAAACTCCAAAATGTCCAGGCCAATTCCCCTCAAAACCTTCCAGTATTCAAATTTGGGCATATCGGGCATTAATGCCAAGTTTGGTCCAGATCCATCGTTGGTTGGGTTCATAGTGTGCTCTGGATGGAGGTGAACTACAACTCCTAGAAATCCCTCCAAAGACCTCCAGTATGTTTGGTGGTCATTGGGCTTCTGTGTGCCAAGATAGTTCCAGGTTCATCGTTGGTGGAGTTCAGAGTGCTCTTAGATTGCAGGTGAACTATACATCCCAGGACCTACAACTCCTATAAACTATGGTGAATTCTCCCCAAACCTATCTAGTATGTTCAGTTTATAGATATAATATTATAAATAATATATCAGGAATAGGCAAGGTTTTGGATGCATTGTGTTTTAAAATTTGACAGGCCAGTGGCAAATGGATGGAGAGTGTTTGTGTGAAATCATTGAAAAAAACATGAACATATATGAAAAAAAAATCTCGTTTGTAGTGCAAAAGAAAGAAAGATCAATACAGAATTTAAAATCGAGGATTTTAACAGCATTTCAGTGGAAATACAGTTGATGACTACTCAGCCTTTGAAATAATAATAATAATAATAATAATAATAATAATAATGAAACCACTTCTTTAACCCATTCTAATCCTGCCTTCTTCCATGAAATTCATTTGACATTTCCTGGTCCCAATACTTCCCTTCAGGTGGCCATTGCCGGGGCCCCCGTCACCGTCTGGATGGCTTATGACACGGGATACACGGAGCGGTACATGGATGTCCCCGAGAACAACCAGCAAGGCTACGAAGCGGGGTCGGTGGCACTGCATGTCGAGAAACTCCCCAACGAGTAAGTGCTCTTGACGGGGGATCCAACAGGGCGAGAGACAGAGACGCACAGGCCTTCTTCCTCGCGTCTTCAAACTCTCTCAGTCTCAAAGATGGCGTAAAAATCATTTCAAGGGCTGGTCAGGCACCAAAGTCTATATCCCGAGGCACTAAATGTGTTTTAGGAAGCCGACTTTGGTCTCTGAAAGCTTATCCTTCCCACTTTCTCCTCTCATTTCATCTCAGAGCTGCTCTGAGATTACTTTTTAAAAATATTTTTATTTTAATCATTTTTTTGTGTCATTAGCAAATTGAGAATACAGTTATAATGTATAGTAAAACCACAAACAACGTTAAAAACTTGGCATTATACTAAATGTCCTTTGACCAGAAGCTGGCCACTTGGAGTGCCTCTGGTATCGCTGTAAGAAGGTCCTCCATTGTGCATGTGGCAGGGCTTAGGCTGCATTGTAGTAAGTGGTCTGTGGTTTCCTCTCCTCCACATTTGCATGTCGTGAGCTCGGCTTTGTAGCCCCATTTCTTAAGGTTAGCTCTGCATCTCGTGGTGCCAGAGAGCAGTCTGTTCAGTGGCTTCAAACTTACCCAGTCTTTTGTGTGCCCAGGAGGGAGTCTCTCATCCAGTCTCAGCCACCGATTGAGGTTCCAGGTTTTAGCCTGCCACTTTTGGACTCTCGCTTGCTGAGGACTTCCTGCGAGTATCTCTGTAGGTCTTAGGAAGCTATTTCTTGATTTATGTCATTGGCATTCTGGCATATATCTGAACGGAGGATGGGCCGGAGATGTCACTGACTTGGTCCTTTCATTATTGGCTGCTACTTCCTGGCGGATGTCAGGTGGTGCAATACAAGCTTAGCAGCTTTAGTGGCGTAGGGCAGAGACATCCTGTGATAATGTGGCAGGTCTCATTAAGGGCCACATCCACTGGTTTAATGTGGTGAGATGTGTTCCACACTGGGCATGCATATTCAGCAGCAGAGTAGCAAAGCTCAAGGGCAAATGTCTTCACTGTGTCTGGTTGTGATCCCCAGGTTGTGCCAGTCAGCTTTCGTATGACATTATTTCTAGCACCCACTTTTTGCTTGATAGTCAGGCAGTGCTTCTTATAAGTCAGAGCATGGTCCAGGGTAACTCCCGGGTATTTGGGTGTCCTGCAGTGCTCCAGTGGAATTCTTTCCCAGATAATCCTCAGAGCTTGAGATTCTTGTCTGTTCTTAAGGTGAAAAGCACAAATCTGTGTTTTAGATAGATTAGGAATCAGTTGGATTTCCGTGTAATAGGCAGTAAGAGCACCTAAAGCTTTGGAGAGCTTCTGTTCGACCATTTCAAAGCTCCCTGCTTGAGCGGTGATGGCACAATCATCAGCATAGATGAAATTATCTGTCCCTTCTGGCAGTGGCTGATCATTTGTGTAAATGTTAAACATGGATGGAGCAAGCACTCTCCCCTGAGGCAGGCCGTTCTTCTGTCTTCACCACCTTCTTCTCTGGCCCTGGAACTCAATAAAAAAAAACTCCTGTTTTGTAACAGATTTCCTTTTAAGTGGGTGAGGAGGTAGTCCTTTGTGATATTATATAATTTTTTTCAGGAGGAAGCGATGATTTACAATGTCATAAGCTGCTGATAGCTCTATGAAGACAGCTTCTGTAATCTGCTGTCTTTCAAAACCATCTTCTATGTGCTGAGTCAGGTTCAGCACTTGTGAACTGCAACTTTTCCCTTTCCTGAAACCAGCTTTTCCTTTTCATAGAGCCAAAAAAAATGAAGGCTGGCCTTTGTATACTTTGAAAGGAAAGCAAAAGCTGCTCCGAGATCCCTAATCCAGACCAACACTGCTGTGGGCATTGATATCTAGCTCAATAGTATTATCCCAGAGGTTGAGTTTCCGATGTTTTGGTTTGGACTCCCATCAAAGATAGTTATTGAAATGTGGGAATCGTAGTCCCAACAAAATCCCAAGGCCTGTAGGTTCTCCACACCTGAAGTATTTCACTTTTGTCTCCCACGCAGGCCCAACCGCTTGCTGATCCTCCATGGGTTTCTGGATGAAAACGTGCACTTTTTCCACACCAATTTCCTGATCTCCCAACTCATCCGGGCTGGGAAGCCCTATCAGCTACAGGTCTGTATTTGTTTTAAATGGGGATTTGTTGTGTGGTCGTGAGCCCTTTGGGAAGGAAAAAGGCAGAATATCCATAATGATGATGATAATAATAATAATAATAATAATAATAATAATAATAGGACAGTATTCAAGGCAAATTGGAAGACAAAGGAGTCCAGGGTCCCCACGGGGAGGAGAAATGCGGGATATAAATAATAATAATAATAATAATAATAATAATGTATTGTCGAAGACTTTCATGGCCGGAATCACTAGGTTGTCGTAGGTTTTTTCGGGCTATATGGCTATGTTCTAGAGGCATTCTCTCCTGAAGTTTCGCCTGCATCTATGGCAAGCATCCTCAGAGGTAGTCACCTCATTACCTCTGAGGATGCTTGCCATAGATGCAGGCGAAACGTCAGGAGAGAATGCCTCTAGAACATGGCCATATAGCCTGAAAAAACCTACAACATCCCAGTGATTCCGGGCATGAAAGCCTTCGACAGCCCTTGTCTGCTGGAGCTAGGTGTGAATGTTTCAATTAACCACCTTGTTTAGCATTTGATGGCCTAGCATTGCTAGTGTGGCTTGATAGTGCCTGGGGGAATCTTTTGTTGAGAGGTGATTAGCTGTCCCTGATTGTTTCCTCTCTGTTGTTTTGCTGTTGTAATTTTAGAGGGTTTTTTTTAATACTGTTAGCCAGATTTTGTTCATTTTCATGGTTTCCTCCTTTCTGTTGAAATTGTCCACATTCTTATGGATTTCAGTGGCTTCTCTGTGTAGCCTGACATGGTGGTTGTGAGAGTGGTCCAGCATTTCTGTGTTCTCAAATAATATGCTGTGTCCAGGCTGGTTCATCAGGTGCTCTGCTATGGCTGACTTCTCTGGTTGAAGTAGTCTGCAGTGCCTTTCATGTTCTTTGATTTGTATTTGGGCAATGCTGCGTTTGGTGGTCCCTTTGTAGACTTGTCCACAGCTGCATGGTATACGGTAGACTCCTGCAGAAGTGAGAGGATCCCTCTTGTCCTTTGCTGAACGTAGCATTTGTTGGATTTTCTTGGTGGGTCTGTAGGTGGTTTGTATGTTGTGTTTCTTCATCAGCTTCCCTATGCGGTCAGTGGTTCCCTTGATGTATGGCAAGAACACTTTTCCTCTGGGTGGATCTTTGTCTTGACCCTTGTGACTTGTTCTCGGTCTTGCAACTCTTCTGATGTCTGAGGTGGAGTATCCATTGGCCTGGAGAGCCCAGTTTAGGTGGTTCAGTTCATCTTGGAGGAGGTGGGCTTCGCAGATTCTTTTTGCACGGTCTGCCAAGGCTTTAATGGTGCTTCTTTTTTGACTTGGGTGATGGTTGGAGTTTTTATGTAGACATCTATCTGTGTGTGTGGGTTTTCTGTAAACGGTGTGACCCAATTGTTGATCTGGTTTGCGGATGACTAGGACATCTAGAAAAGGCAGTCTTCCTTCATTTTCTTTTTCCATGGTGAACTGGATGTTTGGGCGGATGCTGTTAAGATGGTCCAGGAACCTGTTTAGTTCTTCTTCTCCGTGGCTCCAAATGGTGAAAGTGTCATCCACATATCTGAACCATAGAGTGGGCTTTTTTGTTGCTGTTTCCAGGGCTTGTTTTTCAAAGTGTTCCATGTAGAAATTAGCTATGACCGGGCTGAGAGGGCTCCCCATACCTACTCCATCTTTCATAGAATCATAGAATCAAAGAGTTGGAAGAGACGTCATGGGCCATCTAGTCCAACCCCCTGCCAAGAAGCAGGAATATTGCATTCAAATCACCCCTGACAGATGGCCATCCAGCCTCTGTTTAAAAGCTTCCAAAGAAGGAGCTTCCACCACACTCCAGGGCAGAGAGTTCCACTGCTGAACGGCTCTCACAGTCAGGCAGTTCTTTCTCATGTTCAGATGGAATCTCCTTTCTTGTAGTTTGAAACCATTGTTTCGTGTCCTAGTCTCCAGGGAAGCAGAAAACAAGCTTGCTCCCTCCTCCCTGTGGCTTCCTCTCACATATTTATACATGGCTATCATATCTCCTCTCAGCCTTCTCTTCTTCAGGCTAAACATGTCTAGCTCCTTAAGCCGCTCCTCATAGGGCTTGTTCTCCAGACCCTTGATCATTTTAGTCGCCCTCCTCTGGACACATTCCAGCTTGTCAATATCTCTCTTGAATTGTGGTGCCCAGAATTGGACACAATATTCCAGGTGTGGTCTAACCAAAGCAGAATAGAGGGGTAGCATTACTTCCCTAGATCTAGACACTATGCTCCTTTTGATGCAGGCCAAAAGGAGCCGCCACATCACATTGTTGGCTCATGTTTAACTTGTTGTCCACGAGGACTCCAAGATCTTTCTCTTCATAGAATTCATTGTCCCACTGAAAGTAGCTGGTGGTGAGGCAATGGTGAAACAGAGCCGTGATGTCTTCTGGTTGATTAGTGCAATGGTGTCTGCTACCAGGACCTTGGTAAATAGAGACACCACATCGAAGCTGATTAGTTTGTCGTTGGTATTTAGCTTAAGATTGCTGATTTTTTCTATGAAGTGAGCTGAAGTCCTTGATGTAGTGTGTAGTGAGCCCAATATGGGTTTGTAACTGTGCAGCCAGAAATGTTGCTAAGTCGTACGTGGGGGATCCAGTGGCACTCACGATGGGTCTGAGTGGGGTGGAGTCCTTATGGATTTTTGGGAGTCCATAAAGCCTAGGTGGAAGGGCTTCCGATTTGCATAGTTGTTGGCGTATGTTGAAGTTGATTGAGTTCTTAATCAGAATGTTGGTTTTTCTGGTTATTTTGGAAGTTGGGTCTTGTTTAAGTTTTCTGTATATAGTAGGATCCAGGATTTTTCTGATCTTCTCCTTGTGTTGTTTACATGATTACTGTGGCATTCCCCTTGACTGCTGGGAGAATGATGATATCAGGATCTAAGTTGAGATCTCTGACGGCTTGTCTTTCCTTCCTTGTAATGTTACTGGAGGGAAGCTTTGCCTTTTTTAGGACCCTTGTTGTTTCCCCTCTTATTTCTTCTGCTTCTTCCTCGGAGAGGCAATAAATTGCTGATTCGACATTGGCAATGATGTTTTCTACTGGGATCCTGGTGGCGGTTACAGCAAAATTTCCTCCTTTCGCTAGTATGGATACTTGGTCTTCAGAGAGTTGTCTGTCTGTCAGGTTGATGATGGTCCGCGATGTATCCGGTTCTGGTTTCGGCTGTTGCTTTTGGCATTTGTGGAATTTTTGTTTTTGTCTGTTGGTGTGGACAGCCATGTTTTTCTCCATTTTTCTGTAAGTGAAGTTGTCTATTTTGTCCCAGTCCTGGGAATTCATCTTCTGGCTGATGTTGATATGGAGGTACAACAGTTCCTTGTCTATGTTTGCGAGTTCTTTGCGGATGGTGTGAATTCTCTCTCGTAAGAGGTTGCGTTCCAGGCGGTCATAGATCCGGAATAATAATAATAATAATAATAATAATATAATAATAATGTATCTTTAAATTATTATTATTATTATTATTATTATTATTATTATTATTATTATTATTATTAACTTTATTTGTACCCTGCTAACATCTCCCGAAGGACTCGGTGCGGCTTACAAAGGGCAAGGCCAACAATAAAACAACAGCATAACAAATACAAACAATAAAAATCAAAAAGCAAACCAATAAACATTAAAACAATAACAGTAAAACAATAAAACAATACATCATAACACATTAAAACTAGGGCCGGACCAAATGTAATGGATAAAGTTAAAAGTGCTGGGCATGACAGGTGAAGTATAAGGATTTTAGGGTAGGTGTGATGTGCAGACAATCTTAAATCTCTAGTAAAGTGCGTTTGGGACATGATGCTGGGAGTTTCCTATTCTGGAAAGGCACACTGGAACAGCCAGGTCTTCAAGCTCTTCCTAAATATTGATTAGGTTGTGTGGTTGTTGGCTGCCTCAAGTCCCCTCATAGAGAAAGGCAGAATAATAACAATAACAATAATCATGATACCTCTAATATCCTAGACCTTTGGGAAGAGCCCGATAATTCAGAGACAAATCCCAGACACTTGGACCTAATGTGAATGTGTGCTGTGTTGCTATGTAGAAATAAATAAATAATAACAATAAGAATAATATAATGTGTGGCTGATATTTGGGACAAAGATGGAGGAATCCCTACAGCAAGAAGAAAGAGGGGGAATATAAATAAAGGTAATAATAATAGTAATAGATGGGATGGAAGAATGCAAGTGCCTGTAGGACCAGATAAGGTAAATCACGATAGTCAGGAAATAATCATAATAATTTAAATAGATGGGATGGAAGTGTGCAAGCATCCACGGGCCCAGCTCGAGTAAATCACCTTAGTCAGGATATAATGATAATGATGATAATGATGGTGGAAGTCTTCATGGGCACCGTGAACTACAACTCACATCATGCCAGGTTAACCCCCTGAAACTCCAGCAGTAGTTAAAGTTTGTCATGTTGGGCAGGTTTGCTCTAGATGCATCATTGGTGGGGTGCAGTGTGACCTCTGTCTGCAGGATAAACTACAGCTCCCAACATGGTGGGTCAGTCCCCTCAAATCCCTCCAGTATTTTCAGTTGGTCATGGGGGTTCTGTGTGCCAAGTTAGGTCCAGGGCCATCATTGGTGGGGTGCAGAGTACTCTTTGATTGCAGTTAAACTATACATCCCAGTACCTACAAAGTCTATAAATCAAGGTGAATTCCCTTCAAACCTCAAAGTATTTTTCTTTGGTCATGGGGGTTGTGTGTGCCAAATGTAGTCCAGATCTGTCATCGGTGGTGGTCACAGTGTCTCTGAATGTAAGTGAACTACAACTTCCAGAAAGGAAGGTCAGTTCCTCCCAAACCCCTCCAATATTTTCAGTTGGTCGTGGTGATTCTGTGTGCCAAGTTAGGTCCAGGGCCATCATTGGTGAGGTCCAGAGTGGTCTTTGATTACAGGTGAACTATACATCCCAGTATCATAGTAATACCAATATTAATAAAATTAACGGTGGAAGTGTTCATTTTCCATTGTTAAATTGGGAGGCATTTAAAACAATCATAATAATAATGCAGTAGAGTTTCGCTTATCTGACATAAACGGGTCAGCAGAATGTCAGATAAACGAAAATGTCGGATAATACGGAGTCTCCTCTTGTTATCCTCCGAAGCGGCGCTAAACACCTAGAATACTAACAACAGGGACTCAAAGAGTTCAGGCAAGGCAATGCCTCGTGGTTAGAGCGGCCCCGCAGGATGTTCCCGGATACGGAAGAGGAGCATGGAAATCACAGAGGGAAGGAGGGAGGACGCTACCGCTTCCGGTCCTGCCTCTTTCCTCCCTCCTCCTCCTCCTTGTCTTGCTTTTTTCACTTATTGAGAATGGAGAGAGAGTTGGGGAGCGCTCCTTTAATTGAAGGGGAAATGCTGGAGGAAAAGGGAGGTGTTGGATAAGAGCGTCGGATAAGACGGAATGTCGGATAAGCGAGACTCTACTGTAACAAGAACAACAATACATGACTTGTATTCAGGATGAAGATGGAGGATGAACAGGTCCAGGGTCCCAGTGGGGAGGAGAAAGATATGGGATATAAACAAAGCTAACTTTGGTTGCATCCAGATTGGATTACTGCAATTTGCTCTATGTGGGGCTGCATTTGAAGACAGCCCGGAAATTCCAACTAGTACAACGGGCGGCAGCCAGGCTCCTAACTGGAGCTAACTATAGGGAGCGCACAATGTCTCTATTAAAACAGCTTCCCTGGCTGCTGATAAGTTGCCGAGTCCAATTCAAGGTGCGGGTTATTTATTTATTTATTTATTTATTTACAGCTTTTATGTTCTGCCCTTCTCACCCCGCAGGGGACTCAGGGCAGATTACAATGTACACATATATGGCAAACATTCAATGCCAATTTTTGACATACAAACATATACAGACATAGACAGAGGCTATTTAACTTTTTCTGGCCGCCAGGGGAGCTGTCGCTTTCATCGTCCATCTGCGACGCTGATGAAGCACTTCCGCATTCCCCGTATGCTTCCCCGCTGGAATGCTTTGCTGGAGTCTTCTTTATGGCCTCATAAATCAGTTAATTTAGCCTCCCTACACTTTAAGGTGGTACCTTATTTTCCTACTTGACAGATGCAACTGTCTTTTGGGTTGCAAAGGTCGACAACAGGCTACACACAATTGGTTGGAAACCCACTCCAACCCGGGCTGGCTTCGAACTCATGACCTTTTTGGTCAGAGTGATTTTAATGCAGCTGACACTCAGCCAGCTGCGCCACAATCCCCAAATGACCTATAAAGCCTAAATGGTTTGGGCCCCGCCTACCTCCGCGATTGCTCTCCCCCTATAAACTGGCGCAGACTCTTAGATCTACCGGGGAGGCCCTCCTCTCACTCCCACCACCGTCCTAAGCGCCATTGGTGGGGACTAGGGAGAGGGTCTTCTCGGTGGTGGCTCCTTGCCTCTGGAACGCCCTCCCCAGAGAGATAAGACAAGACCCATCACTCTCCTCTTTCCGCAGGGACCTGAAGACTTGGTGGTTCCATCAGGCCTTTGAAAACGATTAGTCTCAGGCCCCAGGCCATCAGTTAGGACCTGACCTTGCACTTTACCCACTCCCCCAGTCCTCTGTCTTGTCATGGTACTAGCCCTGGCCCATACCTTTTTTATAGTTGTTCAGTAGGTTCTGGAAATGAGTAGCCCCAGGCTCCACTCTGGCCATTAGTTAGGATCACTCTTTACCCATTCCCGGGTCCTGTATTACCACTGCACTAGCGTTGGCCCAGCCCTTTCAAACTACCTGGGCTCACTTTGAAATTCTGGCCATTGGGAGCTTATTTTGCACAATAGAATAGTGTTGGAATTGGTTTTTTAATGTATAGGATTGTGTTAATAGTTTTATGTTTATGTTTTAAACGGCTACTTTGTATGTTTTTGTGTTGCTTTTTGTGCTGCCCTGAGTCCACTAGGGGAGATAGAGCTGTATACAAATAAAGATTATTATTATTATTATTATTATTATTATTATTATTATTATTATTATTATTCTATTATAACAACAACAACACTATGTTAGGAATTGTGGGAGTTGAAGTCCAAAACACCTTGAGGGCCGTAGTTTGCCCATGCCTGATCTAGACTGACCCTATCCCTGCCGTACAATCAAAGCACTCCTGAAAGATGCTCTTCCAAGCTCTCCTTTCCTCTCCTTGCAGATCTACCCCAACGAGCGACACAGTATTCGCTGCCCGGAGTCAGGGGAGCACTACGAAATCACGCTGCTGCACTTTCTTCAAGAATACCTCTGAGGGGGCAGAGATACCCCCCCCCCCCAAAAAAAAACCCAACCCTATGACAAACACCCAGTTTCCCCTTTCCTTTCGAGTCTCGTCTCTGAACCTTGGCTTCGTCTTGCCCGTTTGCCTCTCTCTTTCTCTCTTTCTCTCTTTCTCTCTGTGTTTTCCTCTCTCTTTCTCTCTGTGTTTTCCTCTCCTCCTCCGGTGCTGGGCACAACGTCCAGAGCAAACGAGGGGAGCCGAGACTGTGCCACCCCCCTTTCCGTGCCTGCCGCCGACTCCTTTCCCGGCCCCTTGTGCCTCCCTCCTTTTCGTCCTCCCTCGAACGATGTTGCTGCTACTCTGGAATAAATGGCAGGCTCTCCCTTTCCTTCTGTGTGCATCTCTCCCCTCGCTGTCCTCTTGGAGATAAAGAAGCTCCCCCCAAAAACAGTGCGGAGAGAGCAGACAGAGACGTGTCATGGATCTCTTCCGAGGTCTGATTCCCATTGACAGAAGGTGGGGCTCCATTGGAGTGGTCGCGGTGAGATGTACCCTTCTCCGGAGCCCCGAACCGCTTGTCTCCATCTCCGCCGACTCTTCAGTCCTCTCCAGGTTAGCGATTGTGTCCCCGATTTGCCCCGCTTTCTTCCCTTGCCCCTTTCTCCCTCTCGGAATTGGCCTCTCTTCGAATTGGTAGCTTTTATGGGGGTGGGATGTCGCCGCAGAAACACCCCTGAATGTCCCCAAACACACCTCCGAGGGACGTTTTCCCGTCCCGTTGATCAGTTCCTCTTGTTCCAGTTTCCAATCCACATCTATATTTCAACAAGACCTTTCTGATTTGGTCTCTTAAGGAGCCTCACAAGCCACAAAGGTCTTCTTTATGAACTCTGAGAATCCCCAAAGGCCACAAAACCTTTCACTTCTGACCTCTGAGAGTCCCCACGCATCACAAAACTTCTTTTGGACTTTTGGGGTTCCTCAAGGATCAGAAAACCCTTCTTTTGGACCTTTGGGGTTCCTCAAGGGCTGGAAAAACGTTACTTTTAGACCTTTTTTGGTTCCTCAAGGGCCGGAAATCCTTACTTTTGACCTTTGGGGTTCCTCAAGGACCGGAAAACTCTTCTTTTGGAAGTTTGTGGTTCCTCAAGGGCTGGAAAACTTTACTTTTGGACCTTTGGGGGGTTCCCCAAGGATCGGACTTTACTTTTAAACCTTTGGGGGTCCTTAAGGGCCAGAAAATCTAGTATTTCTGACCTCTGAGAATCCCTGCAGGCCACATAACCCTTCTTTTGGACCTTTGGGGTTCCTCAAGGACTGGAAAACCTTACTTTTGGACCTTTGGGGCTCCTCAAGGGCAAGAAAACATTACTTTTAGACCTTTGGGGGTCCTCAAGAGCAGGAAAATCTAATATTTCTGACTTCTGAGGGTCCTCAAAGACCACAAAACCCTTCATTTCGGACCTCTGAAGGTCCCTGATGGCACACAAAACCCTTCTTTTGGACCTTTTGGGCTAAGGGCCAGAAAAACCTACTTTTGGACCTTTGGGGGTCCTTAAGGGCTGGAAAATCTAGTATACCACAAAAACCCTTCTTTTGGAACTTTGGGACTACTCAAGGACTAGTAAACCCTTCTTTTGGACCTTTGAGGTTCCTCAAGGACCAGAAAACCATTTTTGGACCTTTGGGAGTCCTCAAGGGTCAGAAAATCTAGTATTTCTAACCATTGAGGGTCTCCAAAGGCCAGAAAGCATTTCTTTTCTGACCTCTGAGGGTCTCTGAGGGCCACAAAACCCTTCTTTTAGACCATTGGGGCTCCTCAAGGATCACAAAAACTTACCTTTGGGCCTTTGGGGTTCCTCACGGACCAGAAAACCCTAGTTTTGGACCTCTGGGGGTCTTCTAGGGACAGAAAATCCAATGTTGCTGACCTCTGGGGGTCATCAAGGGCTACCAAACCCTTCTTTTGGACTTATGAGGGACTAGAAGTTCCACCACTTTAAGTCAAAAGGCAATTTGGAAGGGGTTTTTGGAGGGAAAGGGGCCATGTTTGCACCCACTCTTCTTTTTCACCCTTCCCTCCTTCCTTTGCCCCCGCTTTTTCCTCGGGGTTCGGGGCTCTGCCATTTCATGCCAGAAGATGCTTCGGGAGGGAAGCGAGGAAAGCCGGCCCACCGGACAACCGCAGCCCCCGTGAACCACAAATGACTCCCCCCCCCCCCGTTATACTTTTAAGTGCGTATTATGAAAAGAAAATATTTTTATGGATTCTTATTCTTTTATAATTATGAGTGGTAAGATGTAGTGACGCATTAAAACTATGGGAAACCAGCGGCTTGCGTCCGGTGTGGTTTTTCTTATCGGTTTCCTTTCATGTTTAAATAAGGTTTTGCATTTCACCGAGTCAGCTGCTGTTTGCATTTCCTGTTGTAGGAAGACAACTCTTTCCCAGCTCAAGCATCATCATTATTATGATTCGTAGTAGTAGTAGTAGTAGTAGTAGTAGTACCCACTTTCCTGTCTTGAGAGTGCCATTGTCACCCTCTCATGCCAGTGCTGCTAAAAAGCTTATGCTTAAACAGAGGACGAGAAGAGGAATATGTATCTTTCCCAGCTCAAGCATCATCTTCATTATGACTAGCTTGGGTAACCGACGTTGCCCGGGTAATTTGGAAACGTCAGCTATTTAATTGTACAAAGTTGTGTATGAGTTACAACTCCCATCATGCCAGGTTAACTCCGTGAAGCACCGTCAGTACTTAAAGTTGGTTATGTTGGGCAAATTTGCTCTAGATGCATCATCAGTGGAGTTCAGTGTGCTCCCTGGCTGTAGAGTAAACTCCAACTTCCACTTTGGTCAGCCAGTCCTCTCAAACCCCTCCAGTATGTTGAATTGATCATGGTTCTGTGTGCCAAGTTTGGTCCAGGCCCATTATCGGTGGAAGTACAGGTTCTCTGGTTGTGGATGAACTACAAGTCCTAGGAAGGAAGGTCAGTCCTTCCCCCCCCCCCCCAAAAAAAAAAAAAAGAAACCTCTCCAGGAATCAAATTTCGGCATATCAGGGATGTATGCCAAGTTTGGTCCAGATCCATGAGTATTTGGGTTCACAGTGCTCTCTGGATGTAGGTGAACTACAACTCCCCCAAATCAAGGTGAATTATCCCCAAAGACCTCCAGTATTTTTTTGCTAGTCTTGGGGGCTCTATGTGCCAAGTTTGGCCCAATTCCATCTTTGGTGGAGTTGAGAGTGCTCATTGATTGCAGGTGAACTATAAATCCCAGTACCTACAACTCCAAAATGTCTAGGCGCAACTCCCCTCAAAGCCCAACAGTGTTCAAATTTGAGCATATCAGGTATGCATACAAAGCTTGGTCCCGATCCATCATTGTTTGAATTCACAGTGCGCTCTAGATGTGGGTGAACTACAACTCCTTTGAATCCCTCCACAGACCTGCAGTATGTTTTGTCGGTCATGGGGGTTCTGTGTGCCAAGTGAGTCCATCGTTGGTGGAGTTCAGAGTGCTTTTAGATGGCAGGTGAACTATACATCCCAGTACGTACAACTCCTATAAATCATGGTAAATTCTCCCCAAACTTCTCTAGTATGTTCCGTTGCTGATCAATTCCTCTGTTGGCTGTGCGCCATAGAAAAGAATAGGAAAGGGTTAAGGGAGAGGCAGTGGGTGGGGTCATGCAATTCCACACTAATGGAAACACTGGGATACCTATGGTGGAGGAAAAACAGAAAATCTAGGAGGACATTGTTCCTGTATGAAAGCCTTCACTTGGGTGGTGGGCAGGATGGTGTTGGTGGAGGACATTGGCAGGGCTCTTGGACATGTTCATGGTGCTCATGATAACCTGCAATTTCATTGGAGGGATGGCCTTTGGTGTCTCCTGAATAGTGGGAGCTGTAGCTGTTTATGGAGGTGGGAGCTTGTCTGTGTAAGTGGGCAGCCCAGTCACACACACACATATTTTCACTCATCTATGTGTATAGATGAGTCATCATAATACCCGCTTTCCTGTTTTAAAGTGCCATTGTCACCGTCCAATGCCAATACTACTAAAAAGCTTCCATGGAAACAGAGGACGAGGAAAGCAATATCGATCTTTCCCAGCTAAAGCATCATCATCATTATCATCATCATTATCCTGCTTTCTTCTCTTTATCGAGATCCAAAGTGCCGTTGTCACCCTCCAATGCCAATGCCGCTCAAAAGTTTCCGCCTAAACAGAGGACGAGGAGGAGAAAGACAATGGAAGCTTTTAAAGGCTTAAAAGGCATGTTCCATCTCCCTCAAAGGCTGTGCATATAATCATTATCGCAAGGTATGGAAACTGATGTCAACCTGTGGTTTTTAAGCTTTTCCCCCGGAAACCCGAATTGCGCAAAATGTGTGTTCTTCGGAACGGAAACCGTGTGACTTGTGGCAGTTTCTCCACAAAGAAAGAGACTAGGGTGACTTCTCCCTTTCAGAGACGGAGAGAACGAGAAGGAAGCAAGGTCTTTCCCTTTTCCTTTCCTTATCTGCAAAGAGAAAAAGGTAAGTTTGCTCTTTCTTGGGGGGAAAAGGATAATAATTAACCCTGAGAAACTCCATCAGTACTTAAAGTTTGTTATGTTGGGCAAGTTTGATCTAGACCCATCATTGGTGGGGTTCAGTGTCTCTCTGGCTGCAGGGTAAACTATAACTCCCACTATGCTGAGTCAGTCCTCTCTCACCCCTCCAGTAGGTTGAGTTAGTCATGGAGGTTCTGTGTGCCAATTGTGGTCCAGGTCCATCATCGGTGGAGGTCACAGTTTCCCTGGTTGTGGGTGAACTACAACTCCTCGAAAGGAAAGTCAGTTCCACCCAAGCCCCTCCAGTAATCAAATTTCAGCCTATCGTGTGTGTGCCTAGTTTGGTCCAGATCCATCGATGTTTGGGTTCACAGTGCTCTCTGGATGTAGGTGAACTACAACTTCCCCAAATCAAGGTAAATTTTCCCCAAAGACCTCCAGTATTTTTTTTTTTGCTGGTCATATGGGGGCTCTATGTGCCAAGTTTGGTCCAATTCCATCTTTGGTGGAGTTCAGAGTGCTCATTGTAGGTGAACTATAAATCCCAGTACCTACAATTCCAAAATGCTCAGGCTAATTCCCCTCAAAACCCGTCAGTAATCAAATTTTGGCATATCAGGTAGGTGTGCCAAGTTTGGGTCCAGATCCATCATTGTTTGGGTTCATAGTGCGCTCTGGATGTAGATGAACTACAACTTGTATAAATCCCTCCAAAGACCTCCAGTATGTTTTGTTGGTCATGGGGTTTCTCCGTGCCTAGTTAGTTCCAGGTTTATCGTTGGTGGAGTTCAGAGTGCTCTTAGATTGCAGATATACATCCCAGTATCTACAACTTTTCTAAATCATGGTGAATTCTCCCTAAACCTCTTTAGTATGTTTAGTTGGTGATCGATTCCTCTGTTTGCTGTGTGCCATAGAAAGAATAGGAAAGGGCTAAGGGAGAGGCAGTGGGTGGGGTCATGCAAATTCCACACCAGTGGAGAGAGTCAGAAACACTGGGATGTCTGTGGTGGAGGAAACACATAAAATCTAGGATGGAATTGTCCTGGTATGAAAGCCTTCACTTGGGTGGTGGGCAGTGTGCTGGATTAGATAGATACATAGATAAATATCAGATAGATAGATAAATATTACATGGATAGACAGGTATCAGACAGAGAGACAGGTATATCAGAGACATACCAGGTAGGGAGATAGATATCACATAGATAGGTATCAGATAAATACCTAGGTAGGTATAACGTAGACAGGTATCAGATTGATACATAAACAGAGATGTATCAGATGGACAGATAGATAAATGATAAATAGATAAGTATCAGATAGATACCACATAAATAGACAGGGACTGACACCAGCCGAGCCCTCCCTGCAGATGGCCATCGTGATCTGCTGAAGATGTTCTCTGCCCCACAGAGAGATGGGTCCCCTCTTCTTGGCCGCCGTTATGGCCACCATGGCGTCCTTATCCAGCGCAGCGGATCTGGCCTTGGAAGGAGCCTGGAGAGGATGGAAGGGCCTCCACCGCAAGGAATACCTCGAGGTGGGTCTGCTTTGGGGGGAAATGGGACGCGCAATCCGCATAATACCAGAATGGGACTCCAATAGGGCTCCAATGGGACTTGTAATCCAGATAGGACTGCAATGGGACTTCAATAGGGCTCCAATGGGACCATAATAGGAATTCCTTGCTGCCCTCGAGTGGACACATTGAGCACTGCACCCTCTTGGTATTCTGCCCTTCCATTAGAACCACAGAGGACACTTTTGCTCAGGACTACTGAGTGTAATCATTTGCCGCCCTCTAGTGGATACATGTGGCATTGCACCCTCTTGGTATTCTGCCCATCCATTAGAACCACAGAGGACACTTTTGGCCAGGTCTCCTATGTGTAGTAATAATAATAATAATAATAATAATAATAATAATAATAATAATACATGTATTGTTGAAGGCTTTCATGGCCGGAATCACTGGGTTGTTGTAGGTTTTTTCGGGCTGTATGGCCATGGTCTAGAGGCATTCTCTCCTGACGTTTCGTCTGCATCTATGGGAAGCATCCTCAAAGGTAGTGAGGTCTGTTGGAACTAGGAAAATGGGTTTATATATCTGTGGAAAGACCAGGGTGGGACAAAGGACTCTTGTCTGCTGGAACTAGGTGTGAATGTTTCAACTTATCACCTTGATTAGCATTTGATTGCCTGGCAGTGCCTGGAGCAATCTTTTCTTGAGAGGTGATTAGATGTCCTTGTTTGTTTCCTCCCTGTTGTTGTGTTGTTCTAATTTTAGAGTTTTTTAATACTGGTAGCCAGATTTTGATCATTTTCATGGTTTCCTCCTTTCTGTTGAAACTGTCCACATACTTGTGGATTTCAGTGGCTTCTCTGTGTAGTCTGACATGGTGGTTGTTGGAGTGATCCAGTATTTCTGTGTTCTCAAATAATATGCTGTGTCCAGGTTGGTTCATCAGGTGCTCTGCTATGGCTGATTTCTCTGGTTGAAGCAGTCTGCAGTGCCTTTCATGTTTCTTGATTCGTGTTTGGGCAATGCTGTGTTTGGTGGTCCCTATGTAAACTTCTTGTCCACAGCTGCATGGTACACGGTCGACTCCTGCAGAGGTGAGAGGATCCCTCTTGTCCTTTGCTGAATGTAGCATTTGTTGGATTTTCTTGGTGGGTCTGTAGATATTTTGTATGTTGTAACCCAAACATCCAGTTCACCAGGGAAAAAGAAAATGAAGGAAGACTGCCTTTTCTAGATGTCCTAGTCTTCCGCAAACCAGATCAACAATTGGGTCACACAGTTTACAGAAAACCCACACACAGAGATAGATATCTACAAAAAAACTCCAACCACCACCCAAGTCAAAAAAGAAGCACAATTAAAGCCTTGGCAGACCGTGCAAAAAGAATCTGCGAAGCCCACCTCCTCCAAGATGAACTGAACCACCTCAACTGGGCTCTCCAGGCCAATGGAGACTCCACCTCAGACATCAGAAGAGCTGCAAGACCGAGAACAAGCCACGAGAGTCAAGACAAAGATCCACCCAGAGGAAAAGTGTTCTTGCCATACATCAAGGGAACCACTGACCGCATAGGGAAGCTGATGAGGAAACACAACATACAAACCACTTACAGACCCACCAAGAAAATCCAACAAATGCTACGTTCAGCAAAGGACAAGAGGGATCCTCTCACTTCTGCAGGAGTCTCCCGTATACCATGCAGCTGTGGACAAGTCTACAGAGGGACCACCAAACGCAGCATTGCCCAAACACGCATCAAGGAACATGAAAGGCACTGCAGACTACTTCAACCAGAGAAGTCAGCCATAGCAGAGCACCTGATGAACCAACCTGGACACAGCATATTATTTGAGAACACAGAAATGCTGGACCACTCCTAACAACCACCATGTCAGACTACACAGAGAAGCCATTGAAATCCACAAGCATGTGGACAATTTCAACAGAAAGAAGGAAACCATGAAAATGAACAAAATCTGGCTACCAGTATTAAAAAAACTCTAAAATTAGAACAGCAAAACAACAGAGAGGAAACAATCAGGGACATCTATGAGAGATATTGACAAGCTGGAATGTGTCCAGAAGAGGGCGACTAAAATGATCAAGGGTCTGGAGAACAAGCCCTATGAAGAGCGCTTAAGGAGCTGGGCATGTTTAGCCTGAAGAAGAGAAGGCTGAGAGGAGATATGATAGCCATGTATAAATATGTGAGAGGAAGCCACAGGGAGGAGGGAGCAAGCTTGTTTTCTGCTTCCTTGGAGACTAGGACGCAGAACAATGGCTTCAAACTACAAGAGAGGAGATTCCATCTGAACATGAGGAAGAACTTCCTGACTGTGAGAGCCGTTCAGCAGTGGAACTCTCTGCCCCGGAGTGTGGTGGAGGCTCCTTCTTTGGAAGCTTTTAAACAGAGGCTGGATGGCCATCTGTCAGGGGTGCTTTGAATGCAATATTCCTGCTTCTTGGCAGGGGGTTGGACTGGATGGCCCATGAGGTCTCTTCCAACTCTTTGATTCTATGATTCTATAATCACCTCTCAACAAAAGATTGCTCCAGGCAGTGCCAGGCAATCAAATGGTAATCAAGGTGATCAGTTGAAACATTCACACCTAGTTCCAACAGACAAGAGTCCTTTGTCCCACCCTGGTCTTTCCACAGATATATAAACCCTTTTTCCTAGTTCCAACAGACCTCACTACCTCTGAGGATGCTTGCCATAGATGCAGGCGAAACGTCAGGAGAGAATGCCTCTAGAACAGGGGTCCTCATACTTTTTAAATAGAGGGCCGGGTCACAGTCCCTCAAACTGTTGGAGGGCCGGATTATAATTTGAAAAAAAATATGAATGAATTCCATTGCACACTGCACATATCTTATTTGTAGTGCAAAAACCACTTAAAAACAATACAATAATTAAAATGAAGAACAATTTTAACAAATATAAATTTATTAGTATTTCAATAGGAAGTGTGGGCCTGCTTTTGGCTTCTGAGATAGGATTGTTGTTGTTGTGTGCTTTCAAGTCGTTACAGATTTAGGTTGACCCTGAGCGAGGGCCGGGTAAATGACCTTGGAGGGCTGCATCCGGTCCCCGGGCCTTAGTTTGAGGACCCCTGCTCTAGAACATGGCCATATAGCCCGAAAAAACCTACAACAACCCAATAATAATAAACTTTATTGATACCCTGCCACCATCTCCCCAAAGGGGACTCGGAGAGGCTTACATGAGGCCAAGCCCCACGATACATTAAAGCAAAATAAAATATAAACAACAAAAATAACATCACAATAAAATAAATAAGCTATTCAAGCAAAATAACATAACAAAAAACCAAACACAGTGGGCAGGCCAAATGCACAACATAAAATGATAAAACTCTGGATGAGATAGCAATGAAAAAGGTATATTTGTGGGGGAAGAGTGGAGTTAGACTTTCAATAAGGTGGGGGGAAGTGCAATATGAGGAAAACAGTGTGGATGAAAAACAACAGGAATGGAATACATGGTCACTCTCCAAAAGCACATTGGAAATTGCCAGGCTGGTAGCACAACTGGTTAATCAGTTGCAATAAATCACTACCAACCAAAAGGTGGCAAGTTTGAAGCCCGAATCGACATTCAGCGTCAGACTGTTTACAGCTGCAAAAATATAAAAGCTGTAAAAAAAATGCACAGCTCACTGTCGACCTACGCAGTTCAAAAACAGCTATGAGCGGTGAGTAGAGAAATTATGGGCCACTTAAAGCGGGGAGGCTAATAATTTATGACACCATAAAAAATGCCGGAGAGTAAGGAGGAAATACTACGATCAAAAAGGCTCGACATCATAGTAGACGAAGCGACAGCTCCCCAGCTTCCCCGTGGCTGAATCGAGCAACCTCCAGGAGGATTGGAAGTGGAAGCACTGCTGAATGAAAGGCCTCTATCTGTCTGTATGTCTTGTACGTCAAAAACGGCATTGAATGTTTGCCGTGTATATGTACATTGTGATCCCCCTTCGGAGTGAGAATGGCGGAATATAAATACTGTAAATAAATAAATAAATACATAAATAAATAAATAAAAGCCAAGTTTTTAGATCTTTCTTAAAGGCGGCTAGAGTGGGGTGCCCTTTGCTGCCCTCGAGTGGACACATCGAGCATTGCACCCTCTTGGTATTCTGCCTTTCCATGATTAGAGCCTCAGAGGCCGCTTTTGTACAGGACGCCTATGTGTAATCTTTTGCCGCCCTCTAGTGGACACATCGACCATTGCATCCTCTTGGTATTCTGCCCATTCATTAGAACAGGAATCCTCAAACTAAGGCCTGAGGGCCTCTCTGAAAAGCCAGTTGAAAGTAGATGTTGTGGGTTATTGTGCCTAGATATTGCAACGCTCTCTACGTGGGGCTGCCCTTGAAGATGGCCCGGAAGCTTCAGCTAGTCCAGCGCGCGGCAGCCATGTTACTAACAGGAGCGGGACGCAGGGAGCATACAACGCCCTTGCTGTTCCAGCTCCACTGGCTGCCGATTTGCTACCGGGCCCAATTTAAGGTGCTGGTGTTATCCTACAAAGCCCTAAACGGTTCCGGCCCAAAATACCTTTCGGACCGCATCTTGGCCTATGAGCCCACGAGGACCTTGAGATCGTCTGGGGAGGCCCTTCTCTCGATCCCGCCTGCTTCACAGGCACGTCTGGCGAGGACGAGAGAAAGGGCCTTCTCGGTGGTGGCTCCCCGGCTGTGGAACGACCTCCCTGCTGACATCAGACAGGCGCCCTCCCTTCTGTCCTTCCGTAAGAGCCTGAAGACCTGGCTATTTGAGAAGGCATTCAACTGAGCGCTACGGCAGCTGGTAATTGACAACTGGAATGGAATACGGATTACGGTATTGGTTATGATTCTATGATGTGACGGAGCGGATTATTTAGTGTAACTTAGATTATAGTGTATTATTGTTGTATTGATTTCCTGTTTTGCCCTTTTGTAAACTGTTTTTATATGTTGTGCACCGCCGCGAGTCGCCCTAGGGCTGAGAG